TTCCACCTGAATTGGGCACTCCTTCAGACAGAAGATGCAATGAAAGAAAAGACTGTCCACTATATAAGATAGGTTGTATGCCATTCTAGATACAAGTCTGGTCACAAGTATGTAGTCATTAATGTCTTATAGCTGATCTCATCCTTCTCAAAAAGGCATCCAGCATACCCATTAACACAAAGTATGGAAGACGAGTCCCATGTCTAATATCAATTTTACACAGAACATGGGAACAATATTTTGTACTACAACTCCAAGAATCCCACAGTGGTCATGTTAGCAGGGGAATTCTATGAGTTGCAGGCCACAAAAGCAACATCCCCCAGCTCTAATTTTTATCTTCTACTGTGAGAAGAAGTGAGAAGATTATTTCATTACTTTTTAGATGCTAGGTGCTATTTCATCCCATCTTGACGTTAAATATGTGGATTTTGGAAGCTAGTTAAGGAAATAATATCTAGAAGCAGTGCCAGACAGTGGGAATTCAAAGATAAAGAAATGTGTCTTCGATATAATCTCATTGGAAAAATCTTGCTCCATTCTTAATAGGATTATAATAAATCTTCACTGACTCGATTATCTGTTCTTCTTTGCAATTTTTAACTTGAGTTTTTGTTGCAATGAGAGAATAGTATTATGTTCTTGTGTCAAATGACAATAGAGTTTGTGGGAAAAATTTCTACTCCCTTCGGGCATGACCCTGTAGGATTTAGCCATAACATTTGGTTGAGTATTGGAATCTGTTTCTGTTACTGAGACTGTCATGTTGTAATGGGAGTTAATTGCAGTTTCTGAGCAACTCAGATTGGGTTCTGAGTAGAATTTCACTTCCAGGTCCGAGGTCGGCATGTCCCTTGAGGCAGAGTGTGGTTCACTCTCAGAGAGTGGGTTGTTGGAAGAAGGTGTTAGACCAGCTGAATGCTGGCTGCTGGTAGACAGCCCCGTTGTAGTTGGGTAGTACCACGAGCTCAGAGGTGTGGTTGAGAACTGGGTGGGAGGAGGGCTTTCTGACTCTGGGGGTACCATTGACTTCTGGCTTGGTGATATCACCACAGAGCTACGTGGTGTGGCCACTTCTACCACATTCTTGAAGGTCTCTAGTACACGATCATTCTTGTGCTTCTCCTTCTTCTGTCGTGACTCCTCCAGCCTAAGCTGACGTCGCTGGTCACGAACCATCTGGTTCCTTGTGTCCACCAAACCTCTTTGAAACAACAGAAGGAATGAGGGGAGGAGAAAAATAAATAACGTTTTTATGGGCTAAAATAATTTACTTTTTTCTACTACAGCAATGACCTCCATGTGGGGATTTGCAAAAAGGCACCATGATGTAATGATGTAGTAATGGTTTGATTGGAAAGACATGTGTTGGCAGCTGATTGGCCGAGCATGCCAGGACCATGCCAGAGTTCTGATTGGTTAATGTGTCTGGCTTGCTGCTGAGACAAATGGTTTCAACTGCCATTTTCACCTCGGAGAGTGAAGAGAGCGCTGACTGAAAACAGTCAGGAAGGAAATGGCTACCAACTCTATGAAGCCTGATCATTTCTAATGCATGAAGCATATTTTAAAGACTTTTTCAAAGGACTGTTTATTCCCTCTGATTGTTACCATCTATATAAATAAAAATGTAATGTTCATTTGTAGGATTAACATAACTCAAAAACCACTGGACAAATTAACACCAAATTTGGACACAATACACCTATCAGGCCAACAAGTGACCATCACTCATAAAAACACTGAAAAACATAGTGGAAGGGACTTAAAAAGCCAAAAAAGCAAAAAGACGCTACAGTGCGCAAAACAACTCCCTCGGCAAAAAACAAACAAACAAAAAAAACCAATAGCATATCCATGCTCTCTTCCAGACTACAGCTCCCAGCATCCCCTAGACCAGACCCTTTAGGAGAGTAGGATGATCCAAATGCAGTACTTTCAAGATGCAAGCTTTCTTCTCCTTGGATTTCTTTGAGAGCATCCCAATCCCTGCATATTTCCAATTTCCTATTCCTATTCCTGGACTGCAACTCCCAGCAATCCTCCAGATAGATAGATAGAGATAGGTATGTAGGTAGATAGGTAGGTAGGTAGGTTGATCAGGAGGACTGCTGTGAGTTGCAGTCCAAGAATAGGGAGAGAAGGGAGAAAGGGGAAGGGAAAGAAAAGCAGGGGGAGGGGGGAGGAAGGGAAGAGGAAGAGAAAGAAGGGAGAGTATGAAAAAAAGGGAAGGAGGGAAGGAGAGAAAGAAAGAAAGGAGGAGAGAAAGAGGAAAGTTGGGCACAGCAACACGTGGTGGGTACAGCTAGTCAGTCTCATATGACTTGAAAGCATTCAACAACAAATTAAGAATGAAGGTACCTACCTGCATTAGGGAAGAAATAACTGCTCAAATTTCATATCTATTCCAGGGTCTCCACCCCCTAGATTCACCAAGGCCATAAATGTCATAGCCTGAAACTTGGTTGTTCTCTGTCAAGTATTAACTATTGTTCCAAAGGCAAATCCATTACAAGAAATATATTAGACTCCACGATAACAACCTCAGATTTGTGGTTCTTCCTCTTTAAAGCTAATGACTGGTAAAATTCAAGCAAAAGGGGCCTTCTTGGGGGAGGAATGTATCTGAGTTGGCTTACAAATTAGCATTTTGCTCAACTAATTAGCTTTTGTAACATGGTGAAGCAAAAGAAGAATGTGAGATCTCAGCTATCTGGAGATGTTTGGCATGACACTGTGGACATACCTTGCTGCAGAGACCACTTCAAAATGTGATGATTAGGAAATCCAGTGCAAAGAAAAACAGTTTTCTGATTTTCATAACTGTGCAGAAGAGGGAATGTAGGCAGGCCAGGTTTGTGACAATCCTGCTAAATTCCACTTTCCCACAGGTATGGCAACTCAGTGTATTCTACTCCCTGCAGTGACCTTAGCCCAGTAATTCTCAACCTGTGGGTCCCCAGGTGTTTTGGATTACAACTCCCTGAAATCCCAGCAAGTTTACCAGCTGTTAGGATTTCTGGGAGTTGAAGGCCAAAACATCTGGGGACCCACAGGTTGAGAACCACTGCCTTAGTCCATTACAAGAATGGCAGATTAATATAAACTTTTAAGCTTATTTTAAGCCATGAAACATGGGAACATGGAGCATCTTAATGCTGCATATATATTCACATGTGATCTTAATGAATGCATGTATTTATAAGAGCATTGGATGCAGCCTTATGATAGAGTCAAATGCTTTATTCCTATGCCTTGTATTGTGTAATCTGGCAGGTGGCAGTTTTCCTGAGTCTCTGACATAGGGCTTTTCAGGCCTCATCTACACTTCCATTGAACTGCATTACATGAGTCTATACAGCCATATAATGCAGTTCAATGCAGTTAAACTGCATTATGAGGCTGCATTATATGGCAGTGTAGATGAGGCTTCAGACAACTGAACATGCCAACGACTGAACCTGGAGTGGAAACTATTTCTATGCATGTTTTGTGCCCTACCACTGAGTTATGGCCCCATGCAATGTAGGTCACATCGCTCTGGTTGTGTTGATTTATTATTGTCATAACTCTTAAGAGTGGTGCTTAGGAGAAAGTTTTTTTTTTTACCTCAATCAAAAAATGCCATGCCATAATATAATATGTGTGCTATATTAACCTGAGAACTTTTTAAAAGATGACAAAAGAACCACATCCTGTCTCTATAAGTAAAGATAAAGGCTTCCCCCTGACATTAAGTCTAGTCGTGTCCGACTCTGAGGGGTGGGGCTCATCTCCAAGCCAAAGAGCTGGAATTGTCACCTTGAGTCGCCGATTGGCTGAGAAAGGCGGTATACAAATACAGTAAATAAATACATAAATAAATTGTCCACAGACACGTCCAAGATCATGTGGTTGGCATGACTGCATGGAGCACCGTTACCTTCCCACCGAAGCAGTACCTATTGATCTTCACACATTTGCATGTTTTCAAACTGCTAGGTTGGCAGAAGCTGGAGCTAACAACAGTGGGAACTCATCCTGCTCCCCGGATTCAAATGGCCAACCTTTAGTCAGCAAATTCAGCAGCTCAGTGCTTTGACTTGTTGCACCACCGGGGTCTCTATCAACGCACTTTGCTGTGGTTTTTGTGTATGTGTGCATACTGAAATATTTATTATCTGGTCCATTCTCTTTAATACACTAAGTCCAGGAGTGGAAAGAAAATATTGTTCTCCTTCCTTCTCATGCTACAGAAGTAAAAACTGAAAAGGCATAAATGAGCAGGGCACTGGATAGAGGAAAAAATATGGCTGTTCCTTTCCCTTTTCAAAGTATCTTCCTACAAGTACTGGATCAAAGCTCCTGGAAAGCTCAGCAGATCTTACTTTTAAATCACTCTGCATAGGTTCATGCTTTAAATATGAATAAACGCTCCTATATTTGAGTTGTATAGCAGAAAAACACCCCATTGCTACTGAAGGGTTTAAAAATAAAGGAATTGCAAGATGTCCTTGGCATGAGGAGCTGCTCATGTGTCACTTGTCAGTTGATTTTAAATGAGCTTGCTTCAGAACCGCAAAATGTCTCTCTGTTCAAAGAGCACTGAAGCGGCTTTTGCCATTCTTACAGCAGCATGGCTGCCTTCACCCATAAATATTTGATGGTGACAAAAGAACTAAAGCCTCTCAAACAAAATCACAGAAGCAGAGGCAAGAAAGTCATGCTGTGTTTCACTAGTAACATCAAGGCAATCTCTAATAGATGGCTATGACGAGTGTCTTATTCCACATGGCAATGCTAAAATAATAAATTCCTTATTTTGGGGGAGGGGGGATATAGTGTTTTTTTTCTGCTTAGCACAGGTTTTTGGGTACTATGATTCCCACTTTCAGGGGTTCCGAAATCAGCCAGTACTGTAGCATAGTTTATTTCCTAAAGTCAAAACCTCAACCATCCAAAAATTTCTCTGCAGGCAGGACTTTGTCCCAACCCAGAGTGTGTTGTCTTAGCTTCCTGCCAGGACTTATCCTTCAATCTTTCACCATCTGACCTGACTGCTGGACCTGATTACACTTCTGCTTCCTCCTCCTCCTCCTCAGGCTTCGGCTCTGGCTCCTCAACTTTAAAATGACTAATTTGAAAAGTGAAGGAAAAAACAGTGAGGATTTATTTAACCCAGCTTCCCTCCCCCTTGCCCCATAATCTAACTTTACCAAAACTCAAGAGCATTCCATTCCAGAGCTGCCAGTCTGCTACTGAGCACTATTCAAAGTGCTGGCTTTAGCCTATAAAGCCCTAAATGGGCTTTATAGTCTAAAGTTAAGATCATCTGGGAAGGCCTTGCTCTTGGTCCCATCTTCTTCATAGGTGCCATTGGTGGGGATGAGAGACAGGGCCTCCTCAGTGGTGGCCCCTTGTCTATAGAACTCCCTCCCTAATGAAATCAGATCAGCCCCTTCCCTCCTGACCTCCAGGAAAAGGCTAAATACCTGGGTGTGGAATCAAGTATTCGGTCAGAAATCCACTAGAAAATATGGAATAGTGCAATAACAATTTGGAATAGCCATGGATTATGATTTTGGATAATGTGATTTTAATAAGTGTTTTAAGATTTTATATGTTTTTAATGACTGTTTTAATGTATCTGCTTATTTTACTATGTATGTATGTCTACATGGCACCAAATCGATTCCTATATATGTAAGTCACCTTGAGTCCCCTACAGGGTTGAGAAAAGCAAGGCATAAATATGATAAATAAATAAATAAATAAAATGTTTTGTTTACTCTATATGTTTTTTGTGTTTTTGCAATTTGGAAACCACCCTGAGTCCCCTAGGGAGGATAGAGTGGTATATAAATAAAGTAGCAGCAGCAGCAGCAGCAGTTGATATTATTATTATTATTATTATTATTATTATTATTATTATTATTATTATTATTATTATTATTATGTCCAGGAATGATTTCTGATTGAACCTGGGGCATAGGACCAATGGAAATAAGCCCTGCAAGAAAGTGGATGCTGGCCCTATGTGTACTGTAGGAAAGTGCTTGTATTCTTTGGAGGCATTTTGTTTCCTAATTCACAGTCATAGGCATCCCCGCCCTGTGTAGGGTTGATCTTCTGTTATGACGCATTCACAAACGCTAACAAAAACATACTATAGATATGTGTCCAAAGAATGAAATTGATGTCTGCAGCCAAACTTTCCATAAACTGGATGCTTTTTTGAAAAGTTGCTTTAGTTCTTTTATTGCATGCTTTTAATTGACTTCTATTGCTTTAATATTTTGATCTAGGTAATACATATTTTTATGTTCATAAATATTATTCAGTGACTTAGCAACTAAGCAAAGACAGAAGAAGGTTAATATATTGCTCAATGTGAATGTTGATAATCCTCACCTGTAATCCACGTAGCCTGTCCTGCCACGGTCCAGTTTGCGTACTAGTTCTGTGACTTGTTCCCGGTTCAGGGGGATCTTTGATTGCTTGTGTCATAACAAAAATAAAATGACTAGAGTTAGGTATTGGTGATTAAATATTTCCTTTCTGCTGGCATACTGCAAAGTGAGACCACTCACCTCTCCTTGTTGTCTTATCTAGTATCTGAGAAAGTTATAAGGTAGTGATGACACCGTTTCCTGTCAGCAGGTCACTTGGGCAGATGTCCGGGATCTCACTCAGTAGACTAAGCAGGAGGGCTCCCTGACACAGCAGGGCTGGCTCATCAAAATTTGAAGTACCAGTATGTATAATAATATACAAGAACATCTTCAAGGGCCCTCTTATAAGCCACATTTTGTAAAACAATGTACATGATAATCTAACAGTTGTATACGCTTGACGAGTATACACATGAAAAGATCTAGGGAGCCTAGTAAATCACAAGCTAAATGTGAATCAGTGGTGTGATGTGATGTCCAGAAAGGCCAATTCTAGGCTGTATTGAAAGAAGCACAGTGTCAGGATAAGGGGAAGTAAAGGCCATTCTATTTTGCTTTGGCCAAACCTCATCTGAAGTACAGTGTCCAGTTGTAGAGACCACATTTCAAGAAGGACACTAACATGCTAAAAGATTATCCAGCAGAGGGTGACCAAGATCATAAAAAGATTTATTACACTAGGGATTAGGGCTGTCCAAACACGGAAAAAATTGTTTCTAAACTCGATTCGTTTTTAGGGGTTTTTTGTGTTTCGTTATCTAAAAGAATTCCGAAATTTTCCTTAAAAAAAGTTCAATATTTACAAAATTTCGGAAATCATAAAACAATTACGAATCAATTCCGAAACAATTACGAAACGAATTGGAAAAATTCGTTTCGTTTTTTAGTTGCTCCTGAATGGTTCAATATTGCTTCGTTATAAAAAAAATAACGAATTTTTAACGAATTACGAAATTACGAAACGAAACCGCCCAGCCCTACTAGGGATGTATTAGGGACTTGGGTATGTTTAGCTGGGAGAATACTGGGGCTGGATCTACATTGCCATATAATGCAGTTTCACACTGCAGCTAAACTACATTGAGCTGGACTATATGGCAGTGTAGACTTATAGAATCCAGTTTCATGCAGTTAAACTGCATTCTGAAACTGTATTATTTGGCAGTAAAGAGCCAGCCAGATAGGTGACATGATAGCCATATAAATTTGTGTGTGTGGAGGCTGGGACAATGTATTGTTGAAGGCTTTCATGGCTGGAATCACTGGTTGTTGTAGGTTTTTTTGGCTATATGGCCATGTTCTAGAAGCATTCTCTCCTGACGTTTCCCTGCATCTATGGCAAGCATCCTCAGAAGATGTGAGGTCAGACCATGAGGAGAACATGTTTTGTTAACAGAAGTACTAAATAGATTATAGCATGCAACTGTTTTATAAGCAATAACTAGCAGATTTTTTAGAAGACGTGTCTCTGAACAATGGCTTCAAAGTACAGGAAAGGAGATTCCACCTGAACATTAGGAAGAACTTCCTAACTGTGAGAACTGTTCAGCAATGGAACTCTCTGCCCTGGAGTGTAGTGGGGCCTCCTACTTTGGAGGCTTTTAAGCAGAGGCTGGTTGGCCCTCTATTGGGTGTGCTTTTGAATGTGATTTTCCAGCTTCTTGTCAGGGGGTTGGACTGGATGGCCCACGAGGTCTCTTCTAACTCTATGATTCTATGATTCTATGATTCTCTCTCTCTCTCTCTGTGTGTGTATGTGTATTTCATTTTACAGAACCACACATAAACACCTACAAATATATACTAGATAACTGCCTTTGAAAACATTAATGACATATCATTACATCCTGTATCATATACAAGGTATATTAACACCAACACTAAGCACATTGAACACTAATAACTAAAGTTCTATAAGCTCCCCTAGCTCCAAAGCTCTGAAGGCTTTGTGTGGCCTGAAGATCATGTCTACACTTCATAATTTCAATTGTGCCCAAATGTTAAGGTTCTAGTCATGAAAACATGGAAAGGGTGTTTCTGGGAAAGGGCTAGAAACCTCCAGACATACAACTCTGTTACTTTATGCATTTGCATTGCTAGGAATTCATATTGCTTTGTGTTTTGAATCCTACCCACAACATAGCTCTCCGAAACTCTGCCACAGGGATCTTCATGTTGCCATATTTGTCCATATTCTTAAAGAAATCCCAGAGTCTCAGCTTGTTTGAATCCAGGTAGTACTAGCAATTAAAAAGAAGAGAAACACATATGAGATCACAGATTTTAAACTCTGTATTACTTTCCTATGAATATTAAACTTGTATATCCCATTCTATTTGTATCTTGCAGTTCTAACATGAAAGGTACAATTTCTTACCTGCTGAAACATGCCTTTCAGATAAAACAATTATTATTCTCCTTCCTTTTTACATGCAAACATTTACAAAATATTTATTTATTTATTTCCACCATTTCTACCCGGTCTTTCTCAACCCCCGAGGGAGGGACTCAGGGCAGCTTACAAACCGGCAACAATTCAATACTGCAATGTACAAACAAATATAAACAACTATAACAACAATTTAAAACCATAAATAAAACACTGATTTAAAAACAAATTCAACATTATTATTAAACCATCTAGCCATTTCCAGTCCAATCCAACATCCAAAGTGCTGTCATGCCTGCTGTCCAAAAGCCTGGTCTCCGAATCATGACTTAAACTTCTTCCTAAAAGAAAGGAAGGATGAAGCCGACAGCATTGGGGCCACCACCGAGAAGGCCCTGTCCCTCGTCCCTAACAAACGCATCTGTGAAGCTGGCAGGACTGAGAGCAGGGCCTACCCAAATGATCTTAAACTATGAGGCAGGCTGTAGAGGGGGATATGTTCGGACAGGTAAGCTGGGCTGGAACTGTATAGGGCTTTATAGGGCAAGACCAGCACTTTGAATTGTGCTTGGAAGTGGACCGGCAGCCAGTGGAGCTGACACAACAGGGGGGTGGTATGCTCCCTGTATGTGAACATATCTGTCTTTTCACAAATTAGAATGGCCTTTGCAGTGTGATATTCAAACAAACTTTAGCATCCTATGCAACTACTAAACGTATGCCCCTTCTACACTGCCATATAAAATCCAGATTATCTGCTTTTAACTGGATTATGTTAGTCTACACTGCCATGTAATCCAGTGCAAAGCAGATAATCTGGATTTTACTTTTGAGCCTTGTGCTTATGATGTAAGAAACATGTCAAACAGTAGAGAATATAAGTTGCTCTCCAAAATATTATCATCCAAACCAACAGCACCATCTAGTGAAGCTTGCATAGATGGCATGGTTTTGAAATCTGAAGTTGCACTGTCAGCACTGAGATGTTCATGTTATTGAATTAAGTACCTTTATTTGGTATTGGTTCCAAAAGGATTCGAGAAAAGGTTTTTAGAATTCTTACTGTGTACTGCACACTTAATCAATCAGTTTGATTAGGAAGTTTAGATCTCATTTTTCTTTTTTTTTTTCCTGCTAAAATTCTAAGGAATTATATGTAATAAAACTGGCTGATTTATTTTGTATCAGACCACTAATCTACCTATCTCAGTTCTCTCTATACTAACTGCTAATGGTTATCCAGATTTTCTAACTAGTGTGTTTTTTCAAGCCTTCTCAGGAGGCGGCAGAAGATGAACACTGGCCTATTCTGCATACAGAGTACTGCTTTCTTCATAACATGTTAACTGCTAAGCTGTTTGTTTGATCGGGAATGTTTAAAATACCACCAGATCTGCCTTTGTGAAGCTGAATCCCAGTATAATATGTTCTGAAAAATCATCATGGGTAAATAATATGAAGTACTTCCTTCAGTAGTCCATGCTCCGGTTATATCTCAAATAGACTACTGCAATGTGCTCTATGTGGGGTTGCCTTTGAAGACTGTTCAGAAGCTTCAAGTGGTCCAACGGGTGGCAACCAGATTTCTCACTGGAGCGGGGTACAGGGAGCACACAACCTCCCTGTTATGCCAGCTCCACTGGCTGCCAGTCTCTTCCGAGTACAATTCAAAAAGCTGACTCTAGCCTATAAAGTCCTAAACGGTTCCGGCCCAGGGTACCTGTTTGAACATGTCTCCCATTATGAACCATCTCGGAGATTAAAGTTATCTGGGGAGGCCTTGCTTTCGGTCTGACTTCCTTCACAGGCTCAGTTGGAGGGGACGAGAGACAGGGCCTTCTCAGTGGTGGCCCCTCAGCTATGGAACTCCCTCCCCAGTGAGATCAGATCAGCCCCTTCTCTCCTGGCCTTCAGGGGGAAAAAACTTAAGATGTGGCTTCGGGACCAAGCTTTTGACAAGTAATTGGAGCAGTACAACAAGTGACTATGAAACAATGTGATTGACAATGAAATGGCCCTGAATTATGTTTTGGTTGGCATGATTTTAATTGTTGTTTTTAATAATTCTGGTTTTAATTGTAATTGTTATTTGATATATGTGTTATGCCATCAGATTGCTGCCTGTTGTAAGGCTGCCTTGAGTCCTCTCCAGGGTAAGAAAGGAGGGATATAAATATGGTAAATCAATCAATCAATCAAAACATGACAGATAGAGGAAAGTACTACAATTATATTTCCATGTATATGAACACTGAGCATCAGACGAAAATTTCCAACCAGTTCATTGGGAAACTTAAGGTATGCATGTGGCAATAGTGCAGCCCTAAGAGATGCGTAGGTTAAGACTGTGAACAACAAAGTGAATTTACTGTTCAAAAATTGAACTTCATCTAAGAAAATGAAGTAATTTTTTGCCATATCCAGTGTTAACATTGCCTGATAAATGTACTAGTATTATTTCAGACCCTGGATTTATTGGACTCACAGAGATAACCAGCCTTTATATGAAAAGTGTATTATTGCATTTCCTGTTGGGGGTGCTTTGAATGTGATTTTCCTGCTTCTTGGCAGGGGGTTGGACTGGATGGCCCATGAGGTCTCTTCCAACTCTATGATTCTATGTCTTAAGTGGAGAAGGACTACTTATATGGCAATTCTAATTTTATGGCATAACACATTCCTTCTTGTTTGGATACTTCCTGATGACTGCACTGAATGTGGCCGAGTTCTTCAAGTCCCAAAGTCCTACCTTGAAGGAAATTCTGTAAGCAGCATGATAGAAATGCACTCATTGTAAGAGAGAATTGAGAGACCCTCACTTGAATCAGCTTCATCGCATCTGGACGCTGTAGTGGTTTCTTTGCAATGTGGCCTCCAACTCCTCCATAGATGACATCCAGCTCGGGATGTGCCTCTGAGACTAAATCAAGCAGTTTGATAAAGCTGTCATTCACCAGCACATTCTGAAACAGAGCAGACAAGAGATCAGACTTAACACAGACAGGAGGGATCTTATTCTCATATTTAGGTTTGTTGAGATAAGATTCCCAGAACTCAGCTCCATTAAGTCTCTCCAACTGGTCTGCATACCACAGTGAGTTGAAAGACCCTACTAGGACCATCCAGTCCAACTTTCTACCATGCAGAAACACACCATCATAGGATTCCTGATAGATGGCAATACAGCCTCTGTTTAAAGTCCCTGAGAAGCAGCATCCACCACACTTGAGGGCAGCATATTCAACTGTCAAACAGCTTTTAGCATCAGGAAGCTCTTCCTAATGTTCAGGCGGAATCTACTTCTTTGAAGTTTGAATCCATTGCTCTGTTTCTAGTCTCTGCAACAGCATAAAGCATGCTTGCTTCAGCATCAAAATAATGTCCTTTCAAATGTTTAAACGTAGCTATCATGTCACTGCTTAACCAAGCTAAATATGATAACAACAACAACAACAACAATGGTCCCAGTGGTGATCGGCACACTGGGTGCAGTGCCTAAAGACCTTGGCCTGCACTTAAACACAATCGGCACTGACAAAATTACCATCTGCCAGTATAGTAATTATCATTGGTAAAATGATAAAACCCTGGATAAGGCAGAAAAAGAAAAATATATCTAATCAATCAGTCAATCAAATAATCAATCAATCATTCAACCAGCTAACAGTGTAATCCTAACTTAGTAGGTGATCTAAGAGCCAGCTAAAATGATATTAGGGGTTGTATCACATTAAATAAGTTCCCCAACCTGCCACAATTCACTGACACAGCTGGTGCAGTGCCCACTAGATCTCTTCACTTTTTATTTTTTATTTTTTATTTTCTTCTTCTTTTTGTTGTGTCAGGAGCGACTTGAGAAACTGCAAGTCACTTCTGGTGAGAGAGAATTGGCCATCTGCAAGGACGTCTTCACATGACACACATCTACTTCCTGCAGGGCTTTGTGCTGGTTCCGTTGCCAACACGTGGTAGAAGGGGGAAACCTGAACATGGGACACTACCCATTTTTAGGTTGAGAATCATGGGAACCGTGAGGGAGAAGCCGGAAAGGTATGCTTTCTGGTGTGTGATGGGCAAGAAGAAGATACAGGTAATGTGGGGTGCCAGGTAACAGATTCACCCCACTTCCCTACGGGTCCCCCCGCTATTCCCTGCATCAAGGAACTCAGTGTGATACGGTCCTGGCTCAGCTGAAGTACTGACTCCAAATTTCAGTCCTGTCAGAAGAGATCTGGATCATGCTCCAGAATTTGATTTTGGTACAGCTCATATTTGGTTTCCATGTGTTGCAAATTGCTTCAATCAGCCCATACCTGTTCCTAACTTTGTGCCAACAAAGGGGCTATGCATCTAAGATGATAAGATTTATTCATAAATGTGACATAACTCTGGCTTCTTTCCAATGCAGCCCTTCACCATCTTCAGCCCTTTGGTCAGCGGATCTCAGCCCTTGTGCTGCCGATCTCTCAACTGCCAAAACCCTGAGTTTAAGTGGCTTATGCTGGCATAAGGAGAGCCAATTAAGCTGCCATAAGTGCCTTGAAACTTGATCTGAGGCAATCCAACAGGCCTGTCTTTGAGGTAGAATTGCATTATTTATTTATTTATCACATCAGAAGCAAGGTGAGGGAGAATTGCCCTGTAACTAACTTATTAAAATTCAAATTCTGAGTCCAGGCAATCCAAATTCAGCAACTAGAAAATGTGGCTTCTGCCTCCTACACATACATAATTCAATACATGCTTTTATTTTCCATGCTGATTTTCTCCCTCAACTTTTTGCTATTTTGCATAATAGTTTGCTACTTATGGAGAATTTTGTGGGCTCGTCTATAACTGTTAGGATTTCTGGTGAGCCCCCGTGGCTCTGGCAATTTTAGCAAATCAGGCTCATAAACTATGCAGCAAATTTACACAAGCTAGAAGAGTAGATGCATTCTTTTAAATTACATTACCAAGGACGCTTGGGAAGCTAAACCCAAAAATGTATTCTGTACTCTGTAGGGTATCCATGAAAGCTGATACTTGCAATAAACACTAAACTGTTTTGAGCAAAAGATAAAGATGTTTATTTACATCGAGCAAAAGAGATACAAATTTGAGGGGGGTGGTCTTCTAGCTACAAGGCATGGAGAAAGAGATTCTGGATTGGTAATGGAAGGTGAAGTGAAATTGTTCTGAGAATGCCAGTGTATTGGAAAGGAAGAGAAAGATTAGGCAAGATGAAGAGAGCACTCTAAGGGGCCTTAGCTACTTTCCTCTAACACAGTGGTTCCCAACCTTTGGGCCTCCAGGTGTTTTGGACTTCAGCTCCCACAGTTCCTGAGAGCTGGTAATCTGGCCAGGATTTCTGGGAGTTGAAGTGCAAAATACCTAGAGGCCCAAAAGTTGGGAACCACTGCTCTAACACGATTGTTCCCTGTAGAAATACAGATAGCATGGTTGCACTCTAATTCCAACATTTTCTTTACTTTTGGTATAACTGGAGCACATATACAGTGCTGTTCAAGAATCAGTAACTGAATCATAGAATCGCCATAAGGACTCCCCCCCCCCCCCCCCAGTCAACCTCCTGCCATGCAGGAGCACACAAACAAAGCACTCCTGACAAGTGAGTCCTGGAAGTAGGAGCAAGAAAGATCCCTGGTAAAACTGGGATGCCCGTTTTTCTCTTTCAAGAATCCTCAAAATGAGGGCAGAGTTATTCCTTCTGTGAAGTAGAATCCACTGTTGCACAGGAAAAAAATTCAATATTCCCTCAAATCACTTCATCTCTTAAAATAGTCTCATAAGCAGCAAGACCCCCCCCCCCCCCCGAATCCAATATACTATCTGACTAGAACTTTTCTCTCTCAGGCTGTCATCTGGCATCCTTGCCATGAGACATTGCTTCTGATGTATATATATAAAAAGCACAGAATCACAGATAAAATGTTGCAAATAATTCATGTAACTGAGAAAACGGAACAATCATATTTAAAATCAGTTCATTCTTATCTGGTCAAAAGAACAATCATATTTAAACTCAGTTCATTCTTGTCTGGTCAGATTAAAAAAAAAGACTGCTCTAAATAAATAAATAAATAAACTTATTCTGCCTATCTCCCCAGGGGACTCAGGGTGGACAAGTACTGACATAATAATCCTGAGACACTTTTGAACTGTGGTGCTGGAGGAAAATTCTGAGAGTGCCTTGAACTGCAAGAAGATCCAACAAGTCCATACTCCAGGAAATAATGCCCAACTGCTCACTGGAGGGAAGGATATTAGAGGCAAAGATGAAATACTTTGGCCACATAATGAGAAGACAGGAAAGTTTAGAGAAGACAATGATGCTGAGGGAAATGGAAGGAAAAAGAAAGAGGGGCCGACCAAGGGCAAGATGGATAGACGGAATCCTTGAAGTGACTGGTTCGACACTGAAAGTGCTGGGGGTTGTGACGGATGGCAGAGAGCTCTGGCAAGGGCTGGGCCATGAGGTCACGAAGAGTTGGAAGTGACTGAACGAATAAACAACAAGCCCACATATAATAATAATAATAATAATAATAATAATAATAATAATAATAAACTTTATTTGTATTCCGCCCTATCTCCCTGAGGGGACTCAGGGCGGATTCCAGCATAACAATGGCAAACATTCAATGCCTACATAAAACACACGATACTAACATAAAATCCCAGAAAACCCCCACATATAAAAGTAACATTAAAACCTAACATCAAATTAAGACTTAACATCAGTAAATTAAACGTGATATCAATAAATTAAACTACACATAGTCAGACAAAATTTTATAATAACATAAATCTAAACAAAACATCCACATTAGTGTACAACAGCCAGCAAGGATTTACAAAATGGTATGGGTTGGTTATATGGTCAAATGAGGTCATTGGACTGGCTTGGACCAAGAGCCCAAATATAAAAAGTTCTCAACCAGAGGCCTGGCAGTGATCTCTCAACCATCCAGGTGAAAAAAAAAAACCATTAGAACCTAACACGAGTAAATTAAACTAAACGTAATCAAAATTAAAATTATCTAATGACATAAAATCTGAAACATAATACTGTACATCTACAATTGCTTTACAGGGGCCAACTAAAGTTCACAAAATTATATGGGTTGATTGTGTGGCCAGTGATGATAGCTGGACTACCAACATTCTCCCAACACTAGACTTCTCTTACTGAGATGTTGATTTCTTCCATTCTGGATTTTGAATTCTTCTTAACCGCCGTGACCAGAGCAATTGCACCTTCTACTGTTATGGGGTTGTGAGACATCTATGAGGAAAAGAAATATAGATAGTCGATTAAGCCAAAATTTGAAATAAGTGTGCTGGAAATTTTCCATGGTCCTGATACTGAGAGTTGCTTTGAATCAGGGCATTGGACTTATTCCAGCTGATATGGACATTTTGTGGCCGTAGGCAATTTGTGAGCTTTTGGTCTCGATTCTCAATCTGTAAAATGGGAACAACAGTGATAGAGCTACAAGCAGGAGGGATGATTGTAAGCAAATAGAAAGCACTGACTATCTACTTCCTTAAAATGGATGACAGAGGTAAAACAGAGGAATGGTGAAATCAGTAACAGGAACCTCTAGAACAATGGTTTCCAACATTTGGTACTCCAGGTATTTTGGATTTCAGCTCCCACAATTCCAAACAGCTGGTAAGCTGTCTGGGATTTCTGGGAGTTGAAGTCCAAAAAAAAAACTGTAGGACCAAAAGTTGGGAACCACCACTCTAGAAAGTGGGAACCCAAGGAGTAGTAGATCATAGATACGAAAAGTGTTGTCAGTAGTGCACAGAATGGGCTAATTATAGCATTCCTCTCCTGCGGAAAATGATACATTTTGAAGTGCATACTAGTCTCCATAGCAAGACCACCAAGCTGAGTACAAAAATGAAGGAAGCTATGTTAATCCAAATGCATGCCTGTGGTCACATACCAATTGCTTTCAGCAATATATTGTTGCTTGGAAAATTAATTTCTGTCCTCATCTAAGATGAGGGGATTGCAGGTAAGTTTTAAGTAGTTGTCAAATGGGGTCATTATCAAAACATCTTGTCATGTGGAGCCTGCATGTTATGACTTCCTTACATTGCCATCCTGACAATGCAAGGCATTTCTCTGGTGCGACACCAGACAGATGTGGCTTGTGCCCATCCTTTGCTATCTGCTGTACTGCAGCAACATTAGGTCTGTGAAGCACTTTTGGTTTTCAATTGACCAGTGTGGTATAGTGCTTGGAGGAGTGTTCGGGAAGAAATGTGTGGTCCTCCAAATATTGTTGGATTGCAACTCCTATCAGTTGCCATACTAGCAAGGGTTGATGAGAAATAGAGTACACAAACACATGGAGGACCACAAGTTGCCCATGCCTGGCTTTGTGCATTAGCTTGTAACACACTGATCCAATTCAAGACCTCACATAAAACTCAATGAGGGACTTTGGATAAGTGACTTTCTCTCTCTCAGCGTGTCCTTCCTTTTAGGGTTGTTGCATAGATAAAATGGGAAGAGAGGCCCATGTGCCTTCATTAACTTCATTAGCTCACTGGAGGAAAAGCAAGCTACTCTACAAATGGAACTAATACATCAATAAATAAATAGAATATTCTTAAGCATGTGGTTTTTGGAACCTTGCCAATTACTGTATGTCTAATGTTAGCATTGCTGGTTTGCTCCCTCAAGAAGTATGGAAATTCATCCATCATCTTCCTATTTTAGTGGCACTTAACATTGTTTTTAATAGTATGTTTTTAATTTGCTTTTAATTTTACTGGCAGTTTTTATTATATGACTTTTGTAGCTTTTTAAAGCCTTTTTGAGTCCCAAGGCTGGGAAATGTGATCTATAAATAAATCACATTTCTGAACCTAGCGGCTAAGAAAGTGCCTTTGTTAAAATTATGGATTTATTTTACAAATGTTCATCTTGAAATTGGGAACAACGTAACCTGGCCTTCAATATTATCAAATCTGGGACCTAGGCGTAAACTAGTAAGGGAGTCAAGGAACTGGTCCAGCTGCTTTTGGCAAACCCAAAGGTAGATCTTAGCTGTTAACTGACAGAAAATCACTCCTTTTAGGACTACTATAATTAACACACTTTTGTTTTTATTTTAAATCACATTACACTTTTATGCCCTGGCCAGTTAGCAAATCTAACCCAATCAAACCCCAAACCTGTGTGGGAAATATCCTTTTCCGTCCCCTCAGTTATATTGATAAAGTTACGAAAATCCCAAGGTTTTAAAACATTGTGATCTTTCAGGTCCTCTTTTATTTTCCTTCCTTTTTATTCTTCCGTATACCTGACTGCTATCATTTTCGAACAGTCCTTGGAGCTCTGAGATCTCTAGAATATTATGCTTTTCAAATTCTGCCAAGAGCTCAGAGGTTGCAGAAAATAGCACTGATGTCAATTGGGCTCACATAGGCCATGTGTAGCTAACATGAGGTTTTTCCACAAACCCAGATTGAATGAGAAAATGAAATCCTACCTTCAGGATTCTAAGACTTCCATTAAGTTCCAATCCTTTGCACAGCCTCATAGTCCCCTCGTTGTTGATGTGGTTGCTGCTGATATCCAGTTCGTTTAATGATGTGTTGACCTTGAGAGCTTCTCCAAGAGCCAAAGCACCCTCATTTCCAAAGCCATTCCACGCAACGTTAAGTACCCTCAATGTTCCATTTGCCTCCACAAAGACAGAAAGGAGACATCAACATTCACCTGTGGTTTTACTTAGGTGTCTTTGCATTTCCCCCTGGAATTAATTTTGATGCAGGGAAATGTAAACATATTTTGAATTAAAATGTATTTCATTCTTTGTTGATTTAAGTAAATATTTTAAATTGTCTCAAACAGTTTAAACTGGTTTTAAACTGTCCTTATATGAGTATTAAATTGTTTAATAGTTTTGTAGTCTGATTAAATTTTTGTTATTGTTTTCAATTGTTTTCAATCAACTAAATCAATTTTATTGTTCATTACTCTCAGATCCTTGGATGTGAATTAGGGTGTAATTAATTAATTAATGTGAGTCATTAATTTTAAATTAATTACTGTACTCCAATAAAATAAATAAGTCTTATTATTACAATATAAAATAAATATTGTCTTATTTAACATCAAAATCTCAATCTAATAGTTTATCTTAGGTCAATGCTTAATCTTAAACCAAAAGAGCCAAAGTTTGCTGTATATACTAATGTATAAATCAATCTCATGTATAGGTCGAGGACAGGTTTTGGAGTCAAAATTATGGATTTTGATATGACCATGAATAAATCTAGGAGAGGGGAAAGCATCAGTGCCACCTCAGGACACCTCAATGCCAGCTACTGCTGCTGCCATTTTCTCCCTCTAGGCATTCATGAAGGCCAGAAGAAGCATTATAGTGGAAGGTAGAATCATAGAGTTGGAAGAGATCACATGGGCCATCTAGTCCAACCCCTTGCCATGCAGAAAAGCACAATCAAAGTACTCCTGACAGATGGCCATACAGACTCTGTTTTACAGCCTCCAGAGAAGGAGCTTCCATCACTATTTGAGGCAGTAGATAGGGCTGGTGCTTTTAGGTTCTCCTGGGATGAACTAAGTTATCACCACTCTACTCTGAGAAAGGAATGGTTCCTTTTTAAATAAGAGTCTAAAATACAGTACTTACACTGACCCATATACAAGTAAGTGGTTTTGACTGATTCTTTGATTGAAATGTCTAGACTTATACATGAGTATTTGGGCACTCTGTTTTCCTATTCATCCTAAATAGCTATCTAGATCCTATTTGTTGTTGTGTGCCTTCAGGTCACTTCTCACTTGCAGTGATTCTGTCATAGAGTTATCTTGGCAAGACACATTTAGTAGAAGGCTGTAAACATGTAACTTGCCTAAGGCCTCTTAGATGGTACTCATGGCCAAGCAGGGATTTGAACTCTAGCCTCCAGAGTCATAGTCCAATCTTGAGACCACTATATTGCATTAGCTCTCCAAGGATCTGCAGTACCATCATTTCACTTATATTCCAAATTAACCGGTATTCATGGACATTTGGTCTTCAATCAGTATCAAAGATAATATATGGTAACATAATATACAGTATACTATACTATACTATACTATACTATACAGGTAAAGGTTTTCCTCTGACAGTAAGTCCAGTCGTGTCTGACTCTCAGGTGTGGTGCTCATCTCAATTTCTAAGCCGAAGAGCCGCTGATGTTGTCCGTAGAAACCTCCAAAGTCATGTGGCTGGCATGACTGCATGGAGCGCCGTTATATAAACTCATATATAAACTCATAGTTTACTATAAGCTTTTTCTAAGGGATAATTAGAATCAGAGCCAGTTTGTTACTTTAATAGAGCAGCTATTATGTATTAGTTGGGCATGTTATCAGGCATACTGTATAAAAAAACAAAGCTCTGAGCTAGCAGACATTGCAGTTAGGTGGCGGCTGGTCGCTGGAAGCCGATATCAACGCTGATTTCATAAAGAAGAAAGAAAGTAAATTGTTTATTGCTTTAGTTTCCTGTCATCATATCAAGAAGAAATCTACTTACAGAAGAAGGTGTTTGTTTTGTTCCTGCGGCAAGGACAACTACAGTGAACTGTTTTGTAACTTTGCCATTCTTACTGAAATGAACTGTTTTCATTTCTATTTTAAAAGCACAACTGATTCAAGTGTAATTTTTGTTCATCAGGACTTGAGTTCAGGGCTACACTGTATAAGAAGGGGTTAGTACATCTTTAAAAGGATATGTGCTCATAAACTTCCATACTTTGCTAGTCAGACAATATTTGTTGGAGCACTACCACTGGTCTGACAGTAACATGTAGCGTATGTATGTGTGCATATGTGTGTATGTATGTGTGTGTGTGTGTATATCAGTGGTTCCCAATTTGTGGGTCACAGCCCACTGCTGGGCCGTGAGATCTAAAATAAGATCTGCAGCTCTAGATTATTAAATTATGTGGGCAAGCGGATGGGGACTACTTAATGACATATGTTCTGCATCAGAAACTAGAGCTGATGTGGTCTACCCAATGCAATTTTCTGAATAAGCAAATCAAATCTAAAGTTGACCAAAAACTGATTCATAACCCTTATGTTGGACAGTAGTCCCTGGTCAAACAAAGGTTGGGAACCACTGGTGTATATGTGTGTGTGTGTGTGTGGCTAGACAGACAGACAGATAGATAGATAGATAGATAGATAGATAGATAGAGAGAGAGAGAGATGCGTATATATATTGTAAGGAGCATTACAGAACCAGTGTGATATAGTGATTTGGGTGTTGCACTATGACTTAGGTATCAGGGCTGAAATCCCGACTTAGTTATGAAATACACCTTAGGCAACTCATACTCTCTCAGCCTCAGAGGATGACAGTGGCAAAGGCCAACTTCTTCTGAACTAATCTTACTTAGAGAACCCTGAGATAGATCACTATAGGTCAGAAATTATTTGAAGGCACACAACAACAATAACAACAACAAGCACACACACATAAACACACACATATATGCACATGATTAATATCGTCTGTACTTACTACATTCTCCATTAATTAGTTTAATCCCATTTTAAAGCCACTGATGTTGAGGCCCACCACCACTGCCTTAAACATTTTCTTTTCCCATTTCCCTCTCGTGCTTTGATGTTTGATGACTCTTATCTTTGTGAATTCTGAGGCAAGCTGCCCTGACCTGCACTTCCTCTACTAAAGTTCAGATCAGAAGCTAATTAATCTCTGAATTTTTCAATCATATTATTACCCCAAAAAGCTATCCACATTCCTTTTTTAAAAAATCCATATTTTATGATAAAGTAAGGCCCTAATTATAAAGGAAATGCCACTGGGCTGCTGGCTGAAGAAGCGACAGACCTTTTTGTCCCCATTAGAAGAATGCATGAAAGAGGAATTCCCTGGGTACCCCACCTTTGAAGGCAAGTTCATCCTTGCCTGACAGTTCTTTGATTTTGCCAGCCCCTTGAACACTAATCTGGTTTGGGGAATGTATTCCTCCCTCTCAAGAATACTGAGAAAAGTCTGTGCCTCATACTGTTGCCCCGATCACCCATAACTACTGAGGAAACTGAGATGAAGGGCCAATTGGAAAGTATGGAATATTTAAAGGGTTTTGCCTTTATCTTTTGAAACACTGCTAAGGTCTTCACACTGAAGCAATGCTTAAGAGACAATATGTTAAATACATTAGCCATCAACAGAGATGGTTCAAAAGATTTGGGGCTCATCTGAGGAATAACACTTTCTTTAACACATTCTCAAACACTAGCCTCTCTTTTACAACAATTTCAAAAAGAGCTTCAGTGCCTGAGAAAATCCAGATGATTTATCCATTATAATGATAGCAACCAGATAGCAAACTCTGAGTTTGAAACTTTCCTGGATGAAGTATTCTCTGATAGGCTCTCCTCATGTTTACTAGGCAGTGGAAGCAGCACTTCAAGGTTGCCATTTGAATTTCCTACAATGCCCCAAAACATCTGACATAGGGTAAATCTACATTGCAGAATGAATGCAGTTTGACACCACTTTAACTGCTATGGATCAATGCTGTGGAATCCTGGGAGCTTTAGTTTGGTGAGGCATCAGCACTCTTTGGCAAATAAGACTAAATATCTTGTAAAACAACAACTCCCATGTTTCTATAGCATTGATTAATGGTGGTTAAATTGGTGTCAAATTGCACCAATTGTAGTTGCATCCATAGTTTCACTATTGAACATTAGGGAAACTTAAACGGAGGGTTGTATATCCAGCTGCACCATGTAGAGGGCCTGGGACAGTCAGGAAACTAGATAAGAAAGTTAATATCTTTTCTTTTTTTTAATGGACATTGGACAGCTACCGGGAACTCTCAATTCCATCCAGATAGACCTATATGCAGTGCCACCTAGTGACTAAACTATATTATTTATTATTTATTTAAAACATTTATATTCTGAGAACTAAGAAGCACTTCAATCTCTTTAGAGCAGTGTTTTCCAAACATTGGTCATCCTGGTATTTTGGATTTTGGTTCCCATAAAACCAGAGTCAGCCCTAGGTAATTTTCAACAGTAAGCAAACAGTATTTTGGCGCCCCCTCCCCCCACTGTTGATTGTTTATTGCCTATTTTTGGTTTATGTGATTTATATGAATTGTATTGCATTGATTGCTTTATTGAGGTTTTGTTTATTGATGTATTGTGGGCTTGACCTCATGTAAGCCGCACCGAGTCCCTTGGGGAGATGGTAGTGGGGTACAAATAAAGTTTTTTAATTATTATTATCATTCATTCATTCATTCATTCAGCAGCTGTGGGTATGGCTCATTAAAAACCAAATGATGAGTTGAAGGAGCATGGTGGAAGATGATGTCATAGTCCCTATTAATGTCATAGAGCTATCCAGTAGTAGAAAATGCTGCCTTGGAGCATAGTGGAATCTCCTTCTCTGGAGGTTTCTAAGCCGGAGTTGGATAGCCATCTGTTGGTGTGCCTTCCTTGTGTGCTCCTGCATAGCAAGGGGCTGGACTGGATGTCCCTTGGGTTATCTTCCAACTCTATGATTCTATTAAATCAAAACGTTCGAGGCTTTGATGTCATGAGCCCTGGCTCCTGCACACCATATGAGGGCACATAGTAACATGGTCATGGCACTGATTTATCTTATGCAAACAACACCCAAATGGATTACCACTTTGTTTCTGACTTGCAATAGCATCTAAGCAATGAGTGGTGGCGGGGCAGCCCAAGCTGAAATAAATTGCTGTTGTTCCTTGGGTTTTTTTTAAAAAAGTTCTAAAATTGATCAAGGCTTGATATGCACAAATATAAGTTCTTTGTGACAGACTCAGGCTACCCCTAAAGAAGAAAAATGTGTTTACTGGGTCAAGCCTGAAAACAGTTTCGCACTTCTAAGAACTATAACTCCTATCCTCACTGGTTGCATTTAAAGTCATCCCCCCTCTTGGTTTCTTGTATCTTTGTCATCTATACTCACCTTCCTTTTAATATTTTCTTCCTCCTGCAAAACACTTAAGAAGAGAGTACATCAAACACATTCTTACCCTGAGGCCAGCACTCAGGGCGACAGCCCCCTTCATCCTCAAATGATTCCAGCTCAGGTTGAGGACCTCCAGGGCTTCATTGTTTGCTGAAAGTGATGGAAAAAAGCAAAAGCAATAAATCAGAAAGCCCTTTGCTGAGAAAGCAAGAGATAAGGATGAGTGTAAAGAATCTTTTCTTTGGAATCATGAAAAAGCCAGAGGGCCGAAGACAATTGCAGGCTGTCAGTCTAACAGCCATAATATTCAACCAGTGATTTTTATGAATTGAGGAGACAGGGAAAACAATATCAGGAAAATGAATTAATTTTTGAGTAAGTTAAGTCTGGCTATTACAGGGGAAATGTACAACTCAAACAGCCTTTTCAAACGAAATTCCCTACTCTCCAACCAGGCCCATAGCCAGGATTTTGATTCGGGGAGGCTGAGTTTGATTCGGGGAGGGGGGGGGGCTAAGGATCTACCCTAGCAAACCTTTTGTATCGTTATCCCAATACCTCCATGCATACAGAATATATTGAGCATGGTGATCAGATTGTGATATGAATAAACATAACAGTTTATATAATGTACCAGTAAGGCTACATGCCTGACTCCAAGATTCCACAGAGGAAAATTGGGACACATGAGACCAAGCAACATCAGTGTGTCGCCAAAATGGCAAAAATTATTAATAAGCTGCGTGCCTATTCAGAACTACATTCTGTTGAATTTTGTAGGGCATATTACTAGGTAATGGCTATAAGATAATAGTCTATGAACCCACTACATGTAATCAGCCTGAAATAGGGGTGGTTCCCCAATCCATCTCTTTAGATTGATGGATTCAATGGAGTTTTGTCACTTCTCATCTAAACTGTATCTGTTTGGATGTCACTTGGATCACCTTTTGAGGCCTGGACATCCAGCTTGTGAACAATGGAAAAATGCAGACAAGCAAACACTCTTAAGACACTTTTAAGTATTGTAATCTCAAGATGGTTATATGGGAGAATGCACTGGCTGTCTAATATAGGCAATCATAGATAAACAAGTATGTGTTCTCTCTTAGGGAGAAACATAAAGTTGCAGGCATTGCTATATCTAGAAATGTCTGTTACACACACACACACACACACACACACACACACACACACACACACACATATATATATATATATAAATATCTATAAATGTCTTTAACAGGCATCTATTACAGTCAGAATGGGAAATACACCATTTTAGCACAGCCTGAGTGACAGTTTCTATCAGACAAAAACAGTGCTAACAGTTTGTGCTGCCTAATAGCCGCATCTGAGGGAAAAAGTAGACTCCTGTCCCTTTTACTTCTTTTTTTTAAAATATCTCTCCTATCCTAATTAACTGATTTTGTCCAATACAATAAGAGATGTTTATTTGTCTCCATTTATGTAAACAATTAGTGTTCTTTCTAGAGGTGATATAACACCATGTACACTTAGCACATGGCTGCCTTCCATCAGATTACATCAGCCATCTGATTGTATCATTCCCTTTAATTGGCAACTGTTTAGGATTTATTACAGGTCAATGTTTATCTTATCTTGATAGCAGTTGTATTGGCTTTCTGTCTTTAACTAGACAGTGTCTATTATCTCATGCCACAATACCCAAAGCTTTCTTCTTTTATGGTATGTTCTGTAAGCCCATCATTTTGTTTTCTGGATCTTACATTTCACAAACTAGAATGTAAATCAGGGGACAACCTATGCATGCCCTTTAATGCATGCTTTTCATTTCAGAAATTCCATCATTTTCATCCAAATCGGAGTTCGGATACTTTATTTAAAATTGCTTATTTCACTTTTTTTCCGAGGCACATTTACTTCAGATACTAATTTAAGATAGGTCTGTTATACAGTAAGTAATTATTGGGGTATTGTGTCTCTTGCATGCTAGCAATGTTTACACTGGGTTGCTGTGAGGTTTTTTGGGCTGCATGGAAAACTCTGAGGATGCCTGCCATAGACATGGGTGAAACCTCAGGAGACAATGCTTCTGGAACATGGCCATACAGCCCAGAAGACTCACAGCAACCCAATGATTCCAGCCATGAATGCCTTCGACAACACAATGTTTACATGGTTTTCCTCTACCCATACTATATTAGTTTACCATAAATCAAATATCTCTGTGCTCCAAAGTAAAGCCAAACCCAAGTATCTTAGTCTACCTTAGGGAGTGGAAAGTATATAACTTACTGGTAGCTTAGTGAATAATACAAATAAACTTACCCAGCATCAGTCCCAGTTGCTCTCCTCCCTTCTCAGAAAACTCATTGTGACTGAGGTCCAGCTCCATCACTCGATAATTGACCTGTGAAAAAATGTGGTAAAGCTTTCCGGCCATTAGAGACCAAAGGGTCTTATATTTCACGAATTTCACTCATCCACTTTTAAAGCCTTCCAGGATTACAGCCATGACATCTTATGTTAGCCAATTCCACTAACAGTATCCCCTTGTCCTTCACTGTGATGGCTATTTCTCTGACACTACAAGTAATTTTGGCAGCAGATACACTAAAGAAGTGGTTCTCAACCTGTGGGTCCCCAGGTGTTTTGGCCTATAAATCCCAGAAATCCCAGCCAGTTTACCAGTTGTTAGGATTTCTGAGAGTTGAAGGCCAAAACATCTGGGGGCTCCCACGTTGAGAACCATGGCACTAGAGGTTAGGAGATAACTCTGCTGCTCCCTTCCTCTACCAGTGATTCAGATCAATGCTCACCAGTTGTATGGTGGGAAAAGGTGGGGTAGTAATACAAGCTTAACAACCATTTATTGTACCTATGCTTTGAAGAGACCGGCATAACATTCCCTTCTGGACTTATATGCATTCAGGTCCATTTCTAGTTGCTCTGTTGGAATCTTACTTACCATTAATGATTCAGAAAAATATTGTGCTGACTCTTCCCTAAAGTTGTTTCCTGAAGAAGGAAAGAGGATGTTAACAGATAGCAATCTGAATCCTACAAGACTACAGTGCGCGTTTATGTACCTTCAAGTTGTCCTTTGACTTAAGGTAGCCTCTCAATTTCACTGGATTTTCTTAGGCAAAGAATGCTGCGTTTGCACTGACACTACAAACCACTTTGGATCCAATTGAGTGGAATCAGTTTCGCTGCATGGGTTATCAAATCCCACAGAACCTGTCCTCAAATGGTTTTATAGGCTCCCACATCTCACACACTTCCAGCAGAGATGTGCACCAGCACACTGGAAGTATATGGGGTGAAAAAAGGGGAAAGTAATAGCAGTGGAGGTAATCAGTTACCTCTTCCAGGGGGTTGATTATCTCCATGCTGCCTAGCTATGGCCTTGGAGCATTTGGGAGTCTTTACTACACTTCAGTCAAGGTGGATGTCTACAATACACTCCACAGTTAGAGGAACCAATTTCGCCCTGAATCTGGGCTACACTGCCACCTGCTGCAGAATATTTTTGACCTGAACTCGGACTTTCCTGATATTTTTTTTAATGTGTGCTACAATGTGCATTGGTGGTGTGCATTTTGTGGTCCTCTGATGTTATTGGACTGCAAGACCCAGAAGTCATAGTTAGCATAGCCTGTGGTAAGGAATGCTGTGAGGTTTTCAGATTTTTTTAATAGAAAACTCAAAGAAAGAAAAAAATGGAAAGCTGAAAAATCACTCAGTGAGGACTGATGGGCACAGGAAGCTGCTTGTTTCAAGAGGAATAGAAACAGGAGCTAGAAGAAGGAATGGAATGGAGTATCCTGGAATAGGACATGCTTAACTGACCAACAAGAATTCTGGAGAAGAACACTCCATATGACTTATTAGTCCAGTTGTCACAATCTTGTGTCAGTCAAAGAATACATAGAGATGCCTGGTTCTAAGTAGCTCTGATAGTCACTATTCTTTAATGGCGACTGTTCTCCAAGACTGTAAGTAGAGAACTTTGTAGTTGACTTTATCAGACTATTTTAGGGGTGGGAGAGAATATGGCTCCTATAATCTCTCAGCTGACCTGGCTGTGGCAGATGAGGTAATTATGCAGAAGCCATAGGCTAAAAAAGTAGCATTTTCAAGCTGGAGTCTTTCCCAGCCCTCTAGTTCAACTCTCAATCTATCTATTTGGGAAACTTATGCAGGTAAATTATGATTATTGTAGTCATAGAAATAGTAGTTGGTCACCCTTCCATTTTAACTGGACACTTTTGCAGCTAAGAAATGTCCATCCATATTAACTGGTATTACACAGATATCAGAGGAAGAAAAAGTAGCAAGTCCACTCAAATCAGCTTCTTGACCATCAGAACTTTCTAATTTAAAATGCAGACCTAATTTGCTTTTCCCCTCCTTCTATAACACCCCTTTTCTCATGTTTACCTTGCATGGCTGGAGGCAAAGACTGTCTTATTATTTATCTAAACAATTTTTGACTGAAAAGGGGTATTTTTCCCCCAAAACTGATTTCCAACTTAGAAGCACCCTAAGGTGAACAACCCATGGCATTTTCTTGATTGCCATTGTCTTCCTCTAAGAAAATGTGACTTCCTAGGATTACTCAGTACGTTTCCTGGCCAAAGAATGATGTGAACCTTGCTCTTCTAATCCAACACTCAGACCACGCCACCACACTAATTGAAAACTAGGGGAGGATACTTTGAATAAAGATATTATGCTGTACCACTTACTGTATATACTCGAGTATAAGCCTACTTTTTCAGCCCTTTTTTAAGGCTGAAAAAGCCCCCCTCGGCTTATATTTGAGTCAATGTTATTTATTATTTTACTTTATTTATTTATTTATTTTTATTATTATTATTACATTTAACATTTTACTCTATTATTATATTTATTATTTTACTTTATTATTGTTGTTATTTTTACATTTATTTTTATTATTACATTTATTATTTTACTCTATTTTTACTGTTATTATTACATTTCCATTATTTTACTTTATTATTATTATTATTATTATTATTACATTTATCCTTTTACTCTATTATTATTGGAAGGATACGTAAGCACATTTATATTGAAGAATATTAGTATAATGGTTTAATCAGAGTTGGACAGTCTTATCTTAAATTACAATTTTATATAAATATTCAAAAACATTTAACATACAGAAGCCTCAGTTAATGTCATTGTACTGGTATCTATTTTTATTTTGAAGTTTACCAGTAGCTGGTGCATTTCCCATTCTCAGCTTGTACTTGAGTCAATGTTTTCCCAGTTTTTTGTGGTAAAATCCAGTGCCTCAGCTTATATTCGAGTTGGCTTATATTTGAGTATATACGGTAATTATGTCAAGGAAACATACCTGCCATTCACAGAAGCTAGTAAAGGATCCTTTATAGATTTTTTCTGAACACCCAAAAGCATCAGCATCATTGTGCCATTCTATATCTGTCCATAATTATAGGAAACATACCTGCAAGCTGAACAGCCCTGACATTAGAAGTATTATGATAGAACATTCTGCAGATAGCTTCGGCTCCATCTACGTTGAGGTGATTATTGGAAATATTCTGAAATGAAAGGGAGAAAAAAAAGTACAGGAATGAGTAGAAAAGCCTCCGGAGGATGGAAGTGTAGGAATGCTCTTACGGCATTTGTGCTTTCTCATATCAATCTGTTGTTTTCAGATTGAAATATGGATCAGAACACGTTTTTACACTTTCCTGATCATTAGAAATTGAATTGTATCAATTGTATTATAATAGACTATAGTAATTAAATGTGTAGCTAATTATGAATTTAAATTTAATAGTTTAAGAGTTGTTGTTTTTTTAAAGTCATGAGTAATGTAGAATTGCAACAGAACAGAATTAGGGGTGAACATTTTTCTGAGTTTTTCTGAGACAACATGTTTGTTATATATGAATACATGTAATATATCTCTATAATTTATTTATTTTATCAAAATAAGCCTTGGAATTTGCTACGGAGAGGAAAGGAGCAACAAAGAGGAGATGGCATGCTTAACTTTTTGCTATTGCTACCTATTTACCACTCAAAATCCTCCTCCCCTTTACAGGTGCTTTTCTGCTGACAGGTGTACCTTAGTTATTAATACGCACAATCATAACAGCATTTTTAATGGCACTATAGTGACCATAATGGTAACTTGTTAGTAACAAATATCATTAAGACTCACCATTTATTCATTTCAAAGTAATGAATAAATTAACTAGTAAAAAGTAACATTTTAAGCTCTGTATGTACCCCCTGAAATCCAAATTCTGCTCCTGTCCCGCATAGATGAGGTCTAACAAGCTGATGCTTAATCCTGACAAGACAGAGGTCCTCCTGGTAGTTGTGCGGCTGATCGGGGTATAGGGTGGCAAGCTGTGCTCAAAAAGGTTATAATCCCCCTGAGGACACAAGTCCGCAGTATGAGGGACCTCCTTGAACCTTGAAGCTCATGTGTCGGTGGTGGCTGGGAGGGCCTTTGCACAGTTAAAGCTTGTGTGACAGCTGTGACTGTACCTTGAGAAGCCTGACTTGGCCATGGTGGTCCATTCCATGGTTACATCCAGATTGGATTACTGCAACACACTCTACATGAGGCTACCTTTGAAGATGGCTAAGAAATTGCAACTGGTACAAAGGTTGGCAGCCAGGCTTCTAACTGGAGTTAATTATAGGAAGTGCACGACCCCCCCTATTAAAGCAGCTCCACTGACTGCTGATAAGTTTCTGGTCCCAATTGAAAGTGCAGGTCATGACCTAAAAAGCCCTAAATGGTTCAAGTCCTGTCTATCTTTATGACCTTACCTCCCCCTATGAACCAACTCCAACTTATGGTGATTCACTCATGAGATTTTCTTGACAAGATTTATTCAGAGGAGGCTTTCCATGGCCTTTTTATTAGACTGAGAGAGTGTAACTTGCCCAAAGGTTTCTCTGGCTCAATAGATATTTTAGTCCACTACTCAAACTACTACATAATACTGCTGAGCACTACACATACTGCATATTGTTAAACACAATTAATGCCAAATATAATTAAATAGCTAAGCAGATTGCTCAATAAAGCTCATTTTGTACTCAAATATATAAATGAATTCCCATCATCCTCCATACTGTGAAAAGTTGGGTACCATCTCCTGAATGTAGCAGTTCTCACGCAGCATCTGCACTAGGTACGTGGTCCCTTCACCCAGAATCCAGTTATCTTCCAACTCTAAGTGAGTGATGGTTGTGTTTGACTACAGAATGAAAAAATGAAAGAATAGAAATTTATAGGCAAATTAACAAAACTACTGTATATATTTACATATACATCAACCTAACATATGTTGAGGGCTGATTTGGGGGGCAAAATTATGGGTTTTGATATGACTCTGGGCACAATTCAAAGTACTGGTCTTGGCCTATAAAACCCTATATGGCTCCGGCCCAGCTTACTTATCCGAACGTAGCTCTCTCTACGTTCCACCTCGTAATTTAAGATCTACTAGGGAGGCCCTGCTTTCGGTCCCACCGGCGTCACAAACGCATGTGGTGGGGATGAGAGACAGGGCCTTCTCAGTGGTGGCCCCTCGCTTGTGGAATTCGCTCCCCAATGAGATTAGATCGGCGTCCTCCCTCCTCACTTTTAGGAAAAAACTAAAGTCGTGGTTTTGGAGTTAGGCTTTCGGCTAGTGGACTTAGCAGCACTTAGACACTGAACCTGACCACAGGATTATGACAATAGGAAACGGATATGTGATTTTGATTAGGCGACTATGTTAGTATATGAGTATGTGATTTTAATTAATATTATTGTTAATTTTTTATGTATTTGATTTTATGTTGTTGTATTGATATTATGGCATTGAATTGTTGCCCATGTAAGCTGCCCTGAGTCCCCCCTCAGGGGTGAGAAGGGTGGGGTAGAAGCAATGTAAATAATAATAATAATAATGTATAAGTCAAAGGTCATTTTCAATCTCATAAAATATATGGCCAGCAAGCATTAAGGCCAAGTCACACATTATGTTTGCATGTGTATATATATTTGTGAATATATATATATATACACACACACACAGAGAGAGAGAGAGAGATACAGACACATTCACACATAATGTCTCTTAGCAATATTTTTGGGATCCAGTGAATCTGGGTCGGGCTATAAATCACCAGCAGCAGCAATAACATCTACCAACCGGAAGGCTGCCAATTTGAAGCCCAGGTCAAGGTGGGCAACCAACTGTCAGCCCAGCTCACTGTTTACCTCAGCACCTCAGAAATAGCTTAGAGCTGTAAGTTGAAAAATTAGGTACCACTAAAAATTGGGGGAGGAATTTTACGACACCATAAGGATAAAACTGGAACATGATGGCGATTAAAAGGAAGGAGGAAGTCCTGATGACTCTTCATCACAGAGGATGTAGTGACAGCCCCACCCGTGGCTGGATTTGAGCACAACCTCCAAAGGTGCCAAAAAGCTGGATGTCAACACAACATGCCTCCTTTCTGTCTGTTCTGTCCTGCCTGTCCAAAGGGCATTGAATATTTGCCACGTATGTGTACTGTAATCCGCCCTGAGTCCACTTGGGGAGATAGGGCACATTTTTTTATTATTATTATTATTATTATTATTATTATTATTATTACTATTATCTGTTCAAAATAAAGAGCTAGCTGGCTTTTCCTGCCCAGCAGAAAAAATAAATAAAAGAATATATCATGAGAACAAATGATTTGTTTCTTTCTAGCTAAAAAAAGAGATTTTCATTTCTGGTCCTCACGAAAAAGCTGACCAATTGTGTCTAAGAAAAAATAAAAATCAACCACATAATTTATTTCATACGGTTTAAATAGTATGTTGAAGGCAGTTTTTTCCCTGAGCTCTACAGTCATGAAAAATAACTTCCATCATATAATGAGATGGTGTAGGAGGAAATATTGAAAACTATTTGCCATAGATATGTGGATATCATAATAATGAAAATCAGGGATAATTTGGGGAAAGCTTCAGCATGGTGCCATGTTCTGCAGTACTAAAATAACAAGCTTCAAGATATAAAGCCTCCTTCAGAGCCATTGGCATCTGAATAATAGAACGTTTGGTAGGTTTTGTGAGTACATTTAAATTAAAGTAAGCAGAGGTAGTTCCATGACACTACAGCATAGTGAAAGTATACTGAAGTATGATTATCTATTTAAGAATCAACTGATAAGCATCTTGTCTGTGCTGCAAAAACCAGCTGCACCTGCAAATCCACTAAAAGCCTTTTAAATGAGAGGTAGATGAGGGGCCTGTGGACATTGCCAACTACTTTATATAATTAAACCAGATCTAGAGATGAAACAACCATATTCTTCTTTCCTTCCTATGTAAAAATGCTTCTCTCCCTCTGCAGGTGAGAAAAATACTTGCTGCCTTTGAGTGAAGCCATGCAAACTACATGTTTGTAAGTACTTACAACTAGGGCAATGGCAATAGCTTTGGTTCCTTTAGGCCCAAGCCCATGATGGTTAAGGTTCATGACGGGCTCTTCCATGTTTCGAATGAAATATGAGACAGGTACTACTCCCACCAGTTTGCAAGCCTCTATGTACAGCTCCGGGCCCTTTATGGTTGCAAATGAACGCTCAGGATCTGCAAAGACAAACCAGCCCAGGTTATTTGAAAAAGGCATCATTTATTTTGGAAATTAGGTAATATCATTTAATTACTCTCTGGGTTGTTGTAGGTTTTTCCAGGCTATATTAAACCAGATCTAGAGATGAAACAACCATATTCTTCTTTCCTTCCTATGTAAAAATGCTATGTAAAAATACTATGTAAAAATGTAAAAATTACTTTCTGTTTGCTGTGTGCCATAGGAAAGGGTAGGAAAGGGTTAAGGGATGGGGTCGTGCAAATTCCACACCAATGGAGAGAGAACAGATTCCTAGGATGCCTGTCTGTGGTGGAGGGAACACCTAAAATCGAGGATGAAATTGTACCCGAATCAAAGCATTATTTGGGTGGTGCCCCATAGTGTTTGGGGAGGACATTGGCAGGGTTTGGACTACATATTTATAGTGCTTGCGGTAACCTGCAATGTCAGTGGAGTCAGTGCCTTTGGAGGCTTCTCAGCACTTAGAACTATAACCTGTTTGTGGAGGTGGGAGGCTGCCTGTATATATGGACATGCCTGCTGCATACACATACACATTTTTCGCTTTATTATGTGTATAGATAAAATGTTGGCATGTCTGAAATGGTGACCTTCAAAAGAGTTACACAAATTTGAAATTATTCATCCTTGTATCTTTTGGATGTAAAGATTAAGGAAAATACATAATATTGTGCAAAGCTGACTTTTTCCTCAAATATACCAACCCTGAATTACAATACATGCAAAGGCTGTATAGAGATATCATGCTTACTTATGCCCAAAAGAATCCCACAGAATCAACCAAATACCCAGAAAAAAATCCTCATATGTGTGTGATGAATGTGCCCAGTTCCTACTCCCCCTTTTCTTTGATGGCTGCCTGATATAAATAATATATCAAAGGATTAGGAGAATTTTATTACCTTTTGGGTAGACCATTTTAAAATGGATGGATTCAAGTCCAAACCTGCAGTTAATAACCCAGACAAGGTTATTCTTGCCAAGAGCTTTTATAAGACTATTTTGTAGCTTATCCATGCCTTGTTTTGCCTTGATGGGCTATAATGAGGCTAAGGGAGCTATTTCCTATTTACCCACATCTACTGAGTGACCTTGGATAAGTCACTACCTCACAGATTATTAGGAAAAGGCTGATGGTGGCGGTTTGGATGGAAGAGAGGACAGTAAACATCACCTTCTATCTCAAGGTCTGTGTCAGGACTATCTTCCCTTGGCTTCTCCTCTGCAGTGTCAGTGGCTTCGGTGAGAGACTGTATCTCTACAGATACGCTGCCTTCTGACATCTCGGCATTCTCGTCTGGAAAAATAAATCACATTCATTTCCCAAATGTGAACATGATCACCATGTAATTATCTAATACATAATGCAGTACACAGTCAAACCATGCCGCCCATCAGCAACAAATTATTGAACCTCCATCCCTCCAGAGTACCTTAAACAGAATTAGTTCTCATTCTTGTAGGGTGCCCTCCTCTCCGTGGTCCACAGAACTCACCAAAAAGTTGTCACAGCTCAATGGGAGCTCTCCAAAACTGGAGCCACAAAAGTTGCCCTTTTGCTATTTATTTATTTATTTATTTATTTACTCCTTTTGTATACCGCAAATATCAGCCGCGGCGACTCTAAGCGGTTTACAGTAAAATGTGCAACATTGAACAATATATATGACAAACAACCACAAACAATACACAAAACGTCATCACGCCTCGAATAGGATCAGATCCAAATCTCATAGTCGTTTTACCATTCCTTGTTCAGTATGCCGTCTTCTGAGTCAGATGTTATTGCATGCTTATCCGAACGCCTGTTCGAAGAGCCACGTCTTAACCCGCCTCCTAAACGCCAATAGCGAGGGGGCCTGCCTGATCTCCACTGGTAGGGCATTCCATAGCCGAGGGGCCACCACCGAGAAGGCCCTGTCCCTCGTCCCCGCCAGCCGCACTTGTGATGCTGGCGGGACCGAGAGCAGGGCCTCCCCGGACGATCTTAGCATCCTCGCCGGTTCGTAGGAGGAGATGCGTTCGGAGAGGTAAGTGGGGCCGGAACCGTGTAGGGCTTTATAGGCTAAAGCCAGCACCTTGAATTGTGCTCGGTAGCAAATTGGCAGCCAGTGGAGCTGGCTCAACAGTGGAGTGGTGTGCTCCCTGCTATGTCTTGAGGTTGCCCCTCCTGTATGGCTGGAACCCAGTTTCAAAGAAGTAGCATTGTTTGTTTTGAGTGAGATCCTTGCTCCTGCTGGAAACCACTTTCTCTGGTCCCAGTTGATCCATATTTTACACCATATCAGTTGCTACTATGGTGCTCCCCACATTTTGGTTGACCTTCCAGCAAAAGGGCAGTAATTTTTCTTATATTTAGTATTGCTTTCTTGTCATTAATTTAAATACTTATCCGTTGTCTCCTCTGTTACAGAAGGTCTTGGGGTGTTGTATTCTTTTCCAATGAGGTAAAATGCTTTGCATGCCAGCTTGTATGGGCACTTAAAGCAAGATTTGTAACCAGATGCCTTTAGATGTGATACCCCTTCTCTAGTCTCCGATTCATAATTTATTTTACAATTAACAGACTTCGGTAAGTTGCGCTTTAGGAGTACATGAGTTGTTAAAAAAAAAAAAGCCTCCAGAAACATTATTGCTGCTTGTCCTATTTGAGGAACAGAAATAAAAAAAATTGTATTTTTCAACATGAAAGGCGTTGTGTGTCTTCTTCCTTCAATTTAATGGATTAGTGACTGACCTGTACTTTTTACCCCTTCTTAAGCATGTTATTCAATATTCAAGCCTGACATGAGATCTACCATTTACTTACAGACATAGACACATTGAGAGAGTGCGGCCCATGGCTATTGGCAGATACCTTTCTCATCTTATTGGAACTGTTCTTCATTTCTAAACTAGGGCAAAAAAGTATGAGTGGCATACATGAAAAACCTCAATTGAAAACTATTAAAAAAACAGGACTTCTAACCAAAGAATCTGGTGAGTATTACCAATGGCTTAAATGGCTAATAATTATAAGCAAAAAAGAAAAGCTTTGTTGGGGAAACCTATAGCTTTCAAGATGATGTTGGAATGCATTCCTCATCATGTTGACAAGCTAGAATGTGTCCAAAGAAGGGTGACTAAAATGATCAAGAGTCTGAAGAACAAGACCTATGAGGAACAGCTTAAAGAGCTGGGCATGTTTAGCCTGAAGATGAGAAGGTTGGGAGGAGACATAATGGCCATATATAAAGAGCTGTTGCGAGCTGTTCAACAGTGGAACTCTCTGTCCCGGAGTGTGGTGGAGGCTCCTTCTTTCATAGAATCATAGAGTTGGAAGAGGCCTCATAGGCCATCCAGTCCAACCCCCTGCCAAGAAGCAGGAAAATTGCATTCAAAGCACCTCCGACAGATGGCCATCTAGCCTCTGTTTAAAAGGTTCCAAAGAAGGAGCCTCCACCACACTTCGGGGCAGAGAGTTCCACTGTTGAATGACTCTCACAGTCAGGAAGTTTTTCCTAATGTTCAGATGGAATCTCCTTCCTTGTAGTTTGAAGCCATTGTTCCGCGTCCTAGTCTCCAAGGAAGCAGAAAACAAGCTTCCTCCCTCCTCCCTTCTTTGGAGGCTTTTAAACAGAAGCTGGATGGCCATCTGTCGGGGGTGCTTTGAATGTGATTTTACTGTTTCTTGGACTGGATGACCCACAATGTCTCTTCTAACTCTAGGATACTATGACTCTATGATTCTATGAAATATGTGAGGGGAAGTCATAGGGAGGAGGGAGCAAGCTTGTCTTTCTGCTTCCCTGGAGACTAGGACGCAGAACAATGGCTTCAAACTACAGGAAAGGAGATTCCACCTGACCATTAGGAAGAACTTCTTGACTGTGAGAGCTGTTCAGCAGTGGAACTCTCTGCCGTGGAGGGTGGTGGAGGCTCCTTCTTTGGAGGCTTTTAAACAGAGGTTGGATGGCCATCTGTCGGAGGTGTTTTGAATGTGATTTTCCTGCTTCTTGGCAGGGGGTTGAACTGGATGGCCCATGAGGTCTCTTCCAACTCTACGTCTCTATGATTCTATGGTCAGCCCTAGCTAGAATGTTCATTAGTGAGGGATGATGGGACTGCAGTCTGATCAATATCAGGAGAACCATTGCTTCTCCAGCCCAATATGTCTATTTATAGAAACTTCCTTCTGAATATTTTTGTGTATCAACATTTTAACCCCCTCCTTTATTCCAATCCACACATTCATTCTTAAAGTATATATTTTACAGTGTTATAACGGCTTGTCTTATGGGAAAGGGATAGACTTAGGGCTGGGCGGTTTCGTTCGTTAATTWCGTAATTCGTTATTTCTTTTTTGATAACGAAGCGATATTGAACCATTCAGGAGCAACTAAAAAACGAAACGAATTTTTCAATTCGTTTCGTAATTGTTTCGTAATCGATTYGTAATTGTTTCGAAATCRTTTCGTTATTGTTTCGTTATTATTTCCGTATGTCTGGTGCAAGTTTTATAGTTGCTGTTTGTTTTATCAGTGATAAAAAAAATAAATTATCACACAACAGTCAACAACAGAGGGAGAGGGAAGCTTCAGAAGTTCCCCCTGTCCCATTTGGAGGTTTTTTAGCGTATTGCACAATCGCGTCCGCCATTAACGAATCGATTCGTAATTGTTTCGTATTTGTTTCGTAATTTCCGAAATTTCGTAAATATCGAACTTTTTTAAAGAAAAATTTCGGAATTCTTTTAAAAAACGAAACGCAAAAACCCCCTAAAAACGAATCGAGTTTAGAAACAAATTTTTCCGTGGTTGGACAGCCCTAGATAGGCTTATTGCTGTTTGATACATCTGCAGTTCTTATTTTGTGTTGCACTTAAGTTCTACATCCTTCCTTGTAAAGTATTGATGGGAAAGGAGAGGGTTCTTGTTTTGGCTATTTTGCATTTCCTCTCTCTCACTCTCTCACTCTCTCTCTCTCTCACTAACTCTCCCTTTTGGATTTCATGCATGAGTCACTGTATAATTGCATTGTGTGTTTTAGCTCTAATGACAACTCTCTGGGCAATTTTCTTTCAAAGAGCGTACACATAACACTCTCACCTTCATCTTCTTCATAGTCAAAGTTTAAAAAGTCCATGATGTCTTGAGGGGATCAGGAAATCTGTTTCTTGACTCTTCCTTTTTTTCTCTCTTATCGTGTTATCAGTGATATGTAGTGCTCTCTTTCAAAACCTTTTAAAACAAAGTCTTTATCCGAGCCATCCAATTGCAACTATTTTTGTGATGTTAGCAGGCAATGTGGAATCGCAAATGATATTTTTTTCGGATTAGGAAGACTCCATTTCCAAGTCCGTGGTACTGCCTGTGTGTTATGCATGCTGTCTGCCCCTTCCTGGGATCATGTCACTTTAATTTCATCTCAAGTATTCCATGACCTCATCTAGACATTGTGACGCAAGGGACATGGTCTCTGTATCTCTGGTGGTCACATAGGGCAGGCTTGGGTTGGGTCTTCTTTGCTGAAGTGCATCCAAATGGATCAGAATACAGGTGAGAGGCTGCGTTTCAAGAAGTGGTGGGGCTGATCATGAGAGGAAGGGTTGGGCTTCAGCTTCTAGAATCACTGATGGTTGGCTGTCACCTAGGGATGATGGGAATTGAGGCCAAAAAATATTTGGGATGACAGTTGTCCATCCTTTGCGCTGTCAGAGCTAAGTTGGTAAAGATAAAGGAAAAATATGTTTAGCTTGGAAAATAGAAAGTTGAGAGGGGACAAGGTAGCAATGCTTAAATATTTGAAGATTGAGAAAAGAGAAAACTTGTTTGCTGCCACTCTAGAGACAAGGGGTGCATCTACACTGTAGAATCAATGCGGTTTGACACAACTTTGTCTGCTATGGATTCATGGGAGTTCTAACTTTACAAGGTCTTTAGTTTTCTCTGCCAATGAGTGCTGCTATTTCACCAAACTACAAAATTCCATTATTCCATGGCACTGAGCCATGGCAGTTAAAGTGGTGTCAAACTGCATTATTTTTACTGTGTAGATGCACCCTTAGACATGGAGGAATGAATTCAAATTGCAGGAAAAGGGATTCCATGTCAGTATTAAAAAGAACTTTAAGAACTGTTCAGCAGAGGAATATGCTGCTGCCTCGGAGGGTGGTGGAGTCTTCTGCTATGGAGGTTTTTAAACAAAGGCTGAATGGCCATCTGTCAGGAGTGCTTTGATCGTGTGGTCCTGCATGCCAGAGGTTTGACCTGGATAGCCTTTGGGGTTTCTTCCAGCTCTGGGATTCTATGAGTATATCTAATTTGGTATATTATTTCTGCTAACATTCACACTCAAAGTCCCAATTAGAAGCCCCCTTTCCTTGCCAAATAGCATCACAATTTGCAACACTATCTTTAAATTCAGTCACAGAACTTCATAATTAGCTGACCTCTTTTTGAGATTCATTTCCAGCCATAATATTTAGACTTGCACAGTTTGTGTTCTGACTTTATGCCATGTATTGTGATATACGTGTGGTGTTTATATGTATTTTATTATATTTTATGTCGATGTGTTTTGATTGTGTTATAACCTGCTTTGAGCCGTGAGGAGTGGCGGGTAACAAAATGTATTATTATTGTTGCTATTATTTATTCATTTCTTGCACTTGTAACCCGCCCTTCTCATCACCACCACCATCATCATAGGAGCCTCTGATGGTGCAGTGTGCTAAACTGCTGAGCTGCTGAACTTGCTGACCAAAAGGTCAGCAGTTTGAATCCAGAAAGTGGGATAAGCTCCCGCTGTTAGCCTCCCCTTCTGCCAACCTAGAAGTTCGAAAACATGCAAATGTGAGTAGATCAATAGGTACGGCTCCAGCAGGAAGATAACGGCGCTCCATGCAGTCATGCCGGCCACATGATCTTGAAGGCGTGTACGGACAACGCTGGCTGTTCAACTTAGAACTGGAGATGAGCACTACCACCTATAGTTGGACACGACTAGACTTAATGTCAGGGGAAAGCCTTTACCTATCATCATCATCTCTGTATATATAACAGACACTCAAAAGTGAGGTGTGAAATATATCTATTTTTGACCAATATTATGCTTATAGTTTCGCCCGATTATGGTCCTTAATGTTTAGACAACTTTAAAAGAGCATGCACATGGTAAAAACTGCTGTCATTCAAGTACTGACATCTTGGTTTCATGGGATGTATCTTGCTGGCATGGGCAAACTTGGGCCCTCCAGGTGTTTGGACTTCAACTCCCACAATTCCTAAGTGTTAAGAATGTTGAAATTGTCCACATGCGTGTGGATTTCAGTGGCTTCTCTGTGTACCTTGACATGGTGGTTGTTAGAGAGGTCCAGCATTTCTGTGTTCTCAAATAATATGCTGTGTCCAGGTTCAGGCCTGTAGTGAGGGGGGGGGGGTTAGGGGTTCAACCCCCCCCCCGAAATGTTTCAGATTTTTTTAAAAACCTGGTTTACTCATGAATTTTAACTGGTTAACCAAATCCCCATGCTAAGTCTATGAGATGCAAAAAATTAAGAGTCCCTCCAGAACTGCAAGCACTATCTCAAGCAAATATTGACAATTTATTCACACTGTCATTACTTGCAGAAATAGCTGATGTAGTGAAGCAACCAAGTTGGGTTTTTTTGGGGGGGGGGGGGTGTTGAATGCTCTCATTAGAGCCGTAGCAAACTAGGATTTTGCGAGAGCAAACTAAGCCAGCATGAACGATGCTCCACCTCTTTCTCCACCTATTTCCCTTTGCTAGGGCAGCGTTGCGAGCGTACGCTCGTGCCGCAGCGAACTACAGGAAGCTTGCGCTCCGGCTTGCTCTGAAGCCCCGCCTTCCCCCCCCCCCCCCCGAGGCTGCTCTCTCTCTTGCTAGCGTGCCTGTTTTCCATTGCAGAGGGCAGGGATGCGAGCGTACGCTCACAGTTGAATTCTGCCAACTGCAAGAGTACACTCGCATCGCTTCCCTAGCAAGGGAAAACAGGCACACTAGCAAGAGAGAGAGCAGCCTCGGGGGGGGAAAAAGGCGGGGCTTCGGAGCGAGCTCGAGCACAAACTCGCTCTCGCTTCCAGTAGTTTGCTACGGCAGGAGGCCACATTTGGTGGAGGTGGTTGACAGGGGTGGAGCTGCAGGCTATTGAAGGCTGCTCTGCTCCCTGCTTTGCTCTTTGCTTCAGCGTGAGCTAGGAGGCAGGTTTCAGCCCCCCCCCCCCCCCTGAAATTTTCAAACCTCCCCCCCCCCCCGAAAATTTCAACCCCTCCCGAAATTTTTTTTCTGGCTATGGCCCTGTCCAGGTTGGTTCATCAGGTGCTCTGCCATGGCTGACTTCTCTGGTTGAAGTAGTCTGCTGTGCCTTTCATGTTCCTTAATTCGTGTTTGGGCAATGCTGCGTTTGTAAGTCAAGTCCCTCAGCCCGCTTTGCTAGTCTTCAAGCCAAAGTGGCCTGTAGGGGAGGAAATGGCGCTGTGGGGCACAAGGCCTCCCTCGGCGCGCCGCCTCAACCAATGAGGGCCCAGGAGGTCGGCGTGGGGGCGGGGCGAGGCGGACCCGCGTGGCCGCTTGGCCTGGCAGGAGGGACGGCGACAGCAGCATGCTGGGGACGCTGCTCTGTTACGTCCTGCTGCCCCTGACGCGGCTCGGCCGGGCTTTACACGGTAACCCCCTCCTTCTCGCCCTCCACCTGCTACCGCGCTCCAAAGGGGGCGGCCTCGTCGTGCTGGGCCTCCTCCCAGAGAGGCTCCGAGTGGAGGCCGCTCTGCTCTCCTAGGAATAGAAGCCTGAGGGGGGTTCGGAGGCCGTTGTCGGTGTTGGCTGGGGAGGCGCGTGACAGCCTTGGGAGCTCAGGAAGCGCCTCCCCGTCCTCATCCACAACAACAGAGGAGGAGGCCTGTCAGGAGGCGCGCTGCTGCCCTTCCCTTCCCTTCATAGGCCGCCGCCATACCTGCCTTTGAAACCCCTGGCGCTCGGTAGAGTATGCTCGAATTTGCCATAATGGAGGGGGAAGGGGGAGGAGGGCCTCAAGAGGGTTTTGAACCTTCTCTGCCATACCAAACTACAACTCTCGGGATTCCCTAGCCATGGTAGCTCAACAGGTGCCAAGCCGCATTCTTTTCTCAGCGTTTGTGTTTGTACCTAAGGTGTCCTTGGCTATATTTGTACAAATAGGGTTTTTTGTATATTTTTTGCCCATAGCTTTCCCCTGAGGATTTTTTTTTTTTTTTTGGTGTCAGGAGCGACTTGAGAAACTGCAAGTTGCTTCTGGTGTGAGAGAATTGGCTGTCTGCAAGGACGTTGCCCAGGGGACACCAGGATGTTTTGATGTTTTACCATCCTTTGTGGGAGGCTTCTCTCATGTCCCTGCATGGGAAGCCGGAGCTGACAGAGGGAGCTCATCCACGCTCTCTCTCCCCAGATTCAAACCTGCAACCTGTCGGTCTTCAATCCTGTCAGCACAAGGTGTAAACCACTGCACCATCGGAGGCTCCTACCTCTGAAAATGCATGCCATAGATGTGGGTGAAATGTCAGGAGAGAATGCTACTGGAACATGGCCATACAGCCCGGAAAACTCATAGCAACCCAGTGATTCCGGCCATGAAAGCCTTCAACAGCACAATGATTTTACCCACAGCACCACCGGAGGGCTCCTGAGGATGAGAGTGTAACTCGCCCAAAGTAGGCAACTTTGGCTGAGTGGGAATTTGAGCCTAAGGTTGGCTCTACACCAGGCATCCTCAAACTGTGGCCCTCCAGCTGTTTGGGCCTCCCACTCCCAAAAGGCCTAACGACCTTGTTCAGTTGACAGGAATTCTAGGAGTTGAATTCCTAACAGCTGGTATTTATTTATTTATCGTGTCAGAAGCGAGTTGAGGGTACGGTTAAAATGCATTTAAAAATACTAACAGAGTGTCACTGTATCACTGTGAGAAGGTCCTCCATTGTGCATGTTGTCAGCTCACAGCGGCTGCTCCCAATGTAAACACAGGACCACGCTCTGGTATCAAAGAGAAACTTTACTGCTGGAATCATAGACATTCAGAAACTGAGATTTCCTGGCACCGGCCGGCACCTCCTTATATACCCTCCCCCTTATTCAAAAATGTCTCTCCCACCAAGCACAAAAACCCTGCGTAATTCACCCGCCCAAACCACTGGCCATTTTCTTTCAGGATCAGCAGTTGCAGGTGTCTTTTCAGTGACCTACATCAGAACCCTGGTTCCTGGTGCCAAAACCAAGGCCATGGAAACTGGGTCCTGACACATGTGGCAGGGCTCAGACTGTAATGTAGTAGATGGTCTGTGGTTTGCTCTTCTCCACACTTGCATGCTGTGGACTCCACTTTGTAGCCCCATTTCTTAATGTTGGCTCTGCATCTCGTGGTGCACGAGCACAGACTGTTCAACGCCTTCCAGGTTACCCAATCTTCTGTGTGCCCAGGAGGGAGTTTCTCATCCCGTCTCAGCCACTGATTAAGCTGCTCAGTTTTAACCTGCCACTTTTGATCTCTGTTTTGCTGAGGTGTTCCTGTGAGTATCTCTCTCAACCTTAGGAAACTGTTTCTTGATTTAAGCTGTTGGCGTGCTGGGCTGATACCTGAACAGAGGATGGGCTGGAGATGTCACTGCCTTGGTCCTTTCATTATTGGTTACTACTTCCCAATTGTTGTCAGGTGGTGCAGTACCAGCTTAACAGTATAATTTCTCCAGTGGTGTGGGGCATAGACATCCTGTGGTAATGCGGTATGTCTTATTAAGAGCCACATCCACTGTTTTAATGTGTTGATATACATTCCATACTGGGCATATGTACTCAGCAGCAGAGTAGAAAAGCGCAAGGGCAGATGTATTCACTATATAATAATAATAATAATAAACTTTATTTATACCCCACCACCATCTCCCCAATGGGGACTCAGCGGCTTACATGAGGCCAAACCCAAACAACAAATTACAATAAAATAAAACCGAAAACGCAAACAATAAACAACAACAACATAATTACATAAAACATGTGAAAACATAGCAATATTGAATTACAATAGGCACAATCACAATGACAATGGGTGGGCTACATGTAATGGTTAAAAGAGAGACGAATTAAAACTGATTAAAACTCAGGTGAGATAACAAAGAGACCGATTATTTGTGGTGGAGGACTCATTATAGTGGGGGTTGTGGAATCAAGCTTTCCCACAAAAGGGGGGGGGGATATGTACTCCAGTGACAAAACATTGAGGCTAGGCAATAGTGTGAGAATGTAAACCTGGTTAAATACCTAGTTGTGATCCCCAGGTTGTGCCAGTCAGCTTTCATACAATATTATTTCTAGCACCCACTTTTTGCTTGATATTCAAACAGTGCTTCTTATAAGTCAGAGGACGGTCCAGGGTAACTCCCAGGTATTTTGGTGTGCTGCAATGCTCCAGTGGGATTCCTTCCCAGGTAATCCTCAGAGCTTGATTGAGATGCTTGTCTGTTCTTAAGATGAAAAGTACACATCTGCATTTTAGATGGATTAGGAAACAGTTGGTTTCCCCTGTAATAGGCAGTAAGAGCACCTAAAGCTTCAGTAGGCTGTTAGGAATTGTGGGAGTTGAAGTCCAAAACACCTGGAGGGCCAAAGTTTGCCCATGTCTGGTGTAGATGCATCCAACACGCAAGGCACTGCAACACACTGGCAAATGCATGTTTATTTTCAAAGAGATAGCTATGTTTATCTTTGTGAGGAGAGGAAGGGGAGCAGGAGCTTTGTGTTACCTTTCAGATTAACCCGTTTATTTCAGTGTAATATTTGGGGGACTACAGGTACATCTGAAGATGTCGATGTGGAATAGTAGGAGCTAGTGGTTAGACTGGGACTTTTAGATACAGCCATGAAATTCCCTGGCATACCTTGGTGGCCCGAGTTACTTCCGGAACTGTTGTGAGGAGAGAAAGTGGAAAGAAAGAGCCACCCATGCTACCTGGGGTTCACTGTAACAAACAAATTAATTAATCCTTGCAACAGTTCTGTAAGGGTAGTTGGTATCAAGTTCAAGACATTTTACTGCCTGGGGCCAGAACAGCAAGGACAACCTCACTTACCTCAAGTCAAGATATATATAGTAGCCAAGGGTGTTCAAGTTACTTTGGCATCTTGGGAAAAAAACACACAAGCATCTCCCCCATCATGGCAGTAAACACAAAACAGCAATAAGCTGACAAATTGCTGCATAATCAGCAGTCTGTGGGAGGAAAAAACAAGAACAACTAGTTTCCACTTGTATGAGGCTTGGAAACACCTTTTAGGCTTGTCGTGTAAGTACACTTATATAGACACCCATTTCTGTCTAGTTTCAATGCAGGGTATGGTACTAAGACAGCTTGGGGTGCCCTGACTGGGGACATATTCTAGGGGAAATATGTAAGTGTCATATTCTCTTGATATTTGTAGACCTTTAAATGGCTTTTGGTATTGATCTTGGTATCTCATTGGTCTGGTGCCATTGGTTGGAAGGCACTGTGTTATGGTGAGTTCTGTTCCAGTCTGTGAGGGCAAGTCCAGAGTATAGCGTTCAGTGGAGGGGAGAACCCTTTCATCTCCAGAGTCCACTGTACTTTTATATATCCTATACTATTCAACATCAATATGAAATTCATATCTTGTCTCCCAAGTGTTCAATATCAATATGATGCCTCTGAGAGAAGGTACTAGGAATTTTGGTGTTAGGGTCTATGAGTATATTCATTACACTCACCAGTACTTCTTGTCATTGGAGTTGTTTGGGGTTAGTACCTGGAATCTAATGGACTGGATTAAGGCCAATAAAATAAAGTTGAGATTGGAAAAGCTGGAGGATCTGTGGACAGGCGTTTCTCAAGCCTGAGAATTGTGTAAGGAACATGACTTGGATGGATTTGCACTCTTTTTGAAAGTTCAGGTGTGTTGCTTAGAAGTGCTCTTGGATCTATGTTTGTCTCTCCAGGCCCTAGGTAGTTTCTGTGGTTCAGTTTCAGTTTGCCTCTAGCAACAGCTTTTTCAGGCATAACAAGGATAACTTAACCACAATCCAAGTGGTAACTTCACAATTAGACTGCTGAAGTTCACTCTGTGTGGAGTTGCCCTTGAAGAAAACATGGAAGCTGGTGCAAAATGCATGATTTGAACTGCTGATTGGAAAGCTATGTGGAAAACATGAAACATCGTTTCTAAAGGAATTGTGCGGGCTGCCAACATGCTTTTGGGCTGAATTTAGGATGCTAGGATAACATGTAAGTCCTCAACGTCTTGGCACCGTGATACCCAAGAGAACGCCTCTCTCCCATCTATGCCTGCCTGATAGCTGAGGTCTTTTAGAGCAGTGGTTCCCAGTCTTTGGGCCTCCAGGTGTTTTGGACTTCAACTCCCAGAAATCCCAGCCAGCTTGCCAACTGTTAAGAACCACTCGTGTAAAACCAATGAGAGCAATATATTGTGGGAGAGTTCCTTCTCTGTTGTGGTACTTGGGGAGTGGAATAACTTCAATTCAGAGGTCTGATGGGTAACAACTGTGTTTTGGTGCCCTTTGGGGTCTATTTGGTTGTATGCAATATGTACATATGCTATTGTTGGCATTGCAATACACATTGTTTTACCTGGTAGAAAAGTTTCACTCACCCAGATCTCATGCTCAGCTAAAGTGATCAAGAAAATGTTGCTAAATGTCATCAAAATAATGAATCAGAACTGCAGTATTATGAAAATGTTTTAAAAATGTAGAAAATATGATTCAGGCTGCTTGTATTTCTTCTGTGCCAATTGATCCCCCTGAGTTGGCACACAAACTCCCTTGTCGAGTTTAAATAGTTTTAACCAGCCGAATTTTGCTTCATTTAGGAATCATGTGGATTTTTAATTCTTCTTCTCACACTGTTTTAAAAGGGTTTTTTTTTTCTTTTAGCAGATGCTTTCTTTACATGTCGGAAGAACGTGCTTTTGGCAAAGAGTGCGACCACCCATATAGACAACTTTTCTGCTTCAGTCAGCGGAAAGCCAGTCTCAGAGGAGCAGCAAGCCCTGCTGCAGCAGTGGCTAGAGGAAGGAGCTGGTGAGGTACATCCCAATGAGAGTGCTTCAAAACCAGAGAAGATATCAGCCGTTTTGGCTACTGAGTGGCGAGAAGGCCCAGAGCTACTGATGACGAGCTTAAGCGACCTGAACATATCACCAGAGTCTGGTGACCAGGAGCAGCCACAGCAGCAGTATGTGGACCAGACTGAAGTATCTCCTGAACTACAGGAGTTTGTAGAAACGACACTGTCAAATTTACCAGCAGAGGAGAGAGATGCCCTAGGGGACAATGCAATATGGGCAGCAGTAAGGACACATGCTGCTCCTCAGATTATTGATGCTGCTCCTTTATCCACAGAAGTGTGGATTGAAGACCCTGCTATCTTAGCTTGGAGTCCTGCCCAGGAGAGTGATGTGGGGTCAGTGGAGGGAGGAGTGTGGCCTTTTCAGAACACAGGTCAATTTCAGCCACTTCCAATTGAGATACCTTATCATGGTAAGTACACAGTATCATGGTGAGTAAGATACCTTATCATGGTATGGCATGGCTGTATGATTTTTCCCACATGTGAATCTTAGTTATGTCAGGTGGTGATGAAAAGGCTTTTTTTACAAGCCTTACATTTCCTTGGACTCTTTGAAGATATGTGTATCCTTTCATGCTACATTTTCAGAATAATTTCTGGTTTAATTTAATTCACTCTTCCTCAGTTTAATGCTACCTAGGTGACTAGGAGGCAAGATATTTGTGTCAGGAACAAGCATGTCAGATCAACTTTATTTCCTTAGTGTTAGTAATTTAGTGAATTATGAGACATAGTATAGCTCAATTTAACCAAAGCATTTGACCTCATTTTTCATTATATTCTTCTTGATAAGCTGGTAAAATAAGGTGGATGATATTGCAATTAGGTGGATCCACCTACTTAAAAAACTTTATTCAGTGAGTTTCAGTTAATGGCTCAGCATTCTCCTTGATGAATGTCTACAGCAGTATGGAATAGGGATCTATTCTAGGTCATGTGGTGTTAAAACATTTTAGCAGATAAACTGGATGGGTCTATGAGTGGTTACTGAGCAGATCTGCATATAGTTAGGAGGTATAGCTAATGCTGTAGAATTTAAAATCAATCCTCTTTCATTCTGGAATATTGAAATGAAATTCTGCAGAATTAAATGTGAAGTCTTGCATGTGTTACAAGAAAAAAATTCCAAGTATAGGATTGGTATAGACTTGGTTTGGCCACAATTGACATGAAAGGAGCTCAGGTGTAATGTATATCATTAGCTAAATATGACCTAGCAATGTTATAAGTGTCTAACAAAGCTGTCATAAACTGCATTAAGAGAAGTTTGTGCATTACAGAAAGTAATTGTTCTACTCTGTTATATATTAGTGAAGCCAAATTGGGGTATTCACAGTGCCTACTTCTAGAAGCCCCATTTTAGCAAGAATATTGGCAGACTGTATCTAAAGAAAAACAACCAAGATGATGACCATTTTGAAACCCAAGCCCTATGAAACACTGCATATGTTCAGCCTGTAGTAGAGATCATTAAAGGGATAAATGCTGTTATATTTATTTATATCCTGCCCTTTTCTTAAAAATGAGACATGGGGAACCTTAATGATTTTTTAAAATAAAAAACAGTATAGATTGGAAATTATAAAAACATCAATAAAAATAAGATATACTTTAAAAACAATTAAACAATCTGTAGTTAAAACCTTTAAAAATAATGTAAAAGCCATATAAGAAGACAACAGAAGAAGAACACAGTACACAATTTAAATTCATCTCAGTCATTTCTAAAAGCCTAACAGAATATGAATGTTTTACTTGCTATGAGAAGGGGGGGGGGGGAGGGGATCATTGTAGCCTTCTTAGGAAAGAAGTCCAAAACCCTTGAAGCAGCCACCAAAAACGGCAGCTCCCTTATTCCCATCAAATGAGTTTGAGAAAGAAGTGTGGGAAACAGAAGGGCCTTTCTCAAAGATATTTGAGCTCTAACATACTCCTTAGGGAAATCCAGTCCTTCAAAGAGTCTGGACCTTAGTAGTATGGGGCTTCATAGGTCATCACCAGCATTTTAAATTGTGCTAATAAATGGAGTGGCTGCCAGTGGAGGTATTGCAAGAAGGGAGTTGTAAGCTCTTTATAGCCAACCCCAGTTGACAATCTGCCCATAGCTCTTTGAGGGAACTGAAGTTTCTGAGCACTTTTCAAAGGCCACCCATGTAGCTTGCATTTCAATAATTTGAGTGGACTGTAAGTCTGACATGGGTTACCATGGCTGGGTCAGACTTCTCTAGGAATCGGTACAGTTGGTGTAGTAGGTATAATTGTGCAGATTCACTACTGGTTATCCATGAAATCTGGACCTCCAGAATTGGGGCCAAACTTACATCTTCAGGGGGAGCGCAGACCCATTTAGTATATGCTGAATATGTATTCTTTTGACTGACCAGGAGCACTATTGTCTTGTCTGAATTAGGCTTCACTGATTTGGGCTCTGGTTTACGAGCTTCCTTGAAATTAAGTGGAAATGAGTAATACAACTGGACATAAGTAACATACTGTGACACCTGAGCCCAAAACTTCAGCAACCTCTCGCAGTAGTTTCATATATATGGTTACTGTAAGAGTGGACAAAACAAAGAGAGAATGCACAGGCCAGTTGCTAAGGAATTAAAGAGGAATCACCCAGCACAACCTTTTAATGAGGAATAGAGCCAGTGTAAAACAGTACTTTTTTGCTCCAAAATTGCCCCAAATACACTGCAAAGGAGTGTAGAGGGTGTTTCCATCATGTCTGATGCCTCAGGGGTCTCTTCCAGTGCTTTGATTGTAGAACAAAAGTAGAAATTGCACCAAATGCAACTTTGCAATTAATATGCATGTTTTTAAAAATACCCCAAGTCTAGTGATTATTGGAATAGCAAAAAGCAGTTGCGGACTGAAGAGTTTAATCCATTCTTTTCATGCTGAGGTCCTGATGAAAATTGGTTCTCTGTAGTTGCTGTATGCATTGGGTGGGATTTTTTCCCACATGTGGTGTAATATCTGTTTTGAAAAACCTGCATGATAAATTGATTTAATATGTTTGATATGGTCCTAAAGATTGAAATCAAAATGCTGTTGCTGTCATAAGTATCTCATACACTTAAAAAAAGTTAAAAGGAAACCTAGCAGCCATTAAATTGGACTTGAGACTGTGATTCTGGCAGGAGGTAGTTTGAGAAACCATCCCAATGCAACTCCTTCTGTCTATATATCTTCTTGTTGCTTGCAAATATACCCTTAACCTTTGTTTTCCTCCTTTCTTACATAGAGATTCTTTGGAGAGATTGGGAAGATCTTTCTGCTCAGGCTTGCATCCCAGAGCTGGGCTCAGAGGGGAGTTCTTTGTTTGAATTCAGAGTCATGTCCTACAATATTCTGGCCCAGGATCTGATAGAGCAGAGCCCTCATCTTTACATGCATTGTCACCCAGACATCCTGAACTGGAGCTATCGTCTCACCAATCTCTTACAGGAGATCCAGCACTGGGATCCTGATGTGAGTAGTGAAATTTCAGGTTTGTCAGGCACACTTAAAAATGGCAAGTTATTGTTACTGACAAATACAAAGTAAAAATGCATGTTTTCTTCTTCGCCTTCCTCTGAAACAATATTTTCATGTACTTCAGGCTTTTACTTAGGGTGTCCTAAATCTTGTCAAGAAATGTTTCCTGCCCAGCCATAGCAGTAAGCTATGGGAACTCAGGGTAACCTCTTCATTCTATTAAAAGACTGACTTCTTTAAAACATACCAAAAACATCCTAACTCATACAGACATATCAATGTTAACTAGCTTTGTTCTGAGTTTCATGTAGGCATGTAGCATATTAATTTCCTCCCACATTTTCCAGTACTTTGTCCTTTTTCAAAATTCTCATTAGGAATATTTTCCTTTCCAACAGCCAGATATCTTGTTAACCTTGGTCTGCAATCCATACATTAGTCTTTCCACCGCAGGATTCCACCTTCACCATAAATCTTGCGAAGTAGACATGATCCTCAGGAATCCTCATTTGGTCATTAAGGTCCAAGACTTTGTTCAATATTGAACCCTGACACACATTACTGCTGGAAGATGTTTATTGGGGTTAGACGATGTAGCAGTTGGCATATAGCTGAGAAGCATTCTAGTCCTTTTATTAATGAATTTGGGGGGGGGGGGGGCAAAATGACTAATTCTGCGAAGGCTAAAGACCTTGTCAAACTACATGTCCTGTGATTCTATGCATTAAAACGTGACAATTAAAATCATGTCAAACTGCATTAATTCTACAGTGTAGGTGCTCCCAGTGTCATTTATACAAATTAAGTCCTGGACAGCTGCTAATGTTTGGTCATGAAGCTCTTAGGGATTTCAAAATCCATCTTCTGGTGTCACTCGCTACAACGAAATTTGAGCGTGCTATTTGTTCTATTAGTATCTGATAATGGAGTTCCAGAGTTCTGTTCTGTGGGACATTTGAAATGTCTACTTTGGCGTTTCTACTGTTGGAAGTCCACTGAACTCTGGGTTCTATATACCACATTTGATTTTTGTGAGCATCTCCAGTTTTAGTCTCTTGCTTTTTCAAAACTCTTTGCGCCTCCTTTCTTGCTCATGTTTGAATACATAACTGAAATGTGCAGTGCTCCAGGATACTGTATTTTAATATTCTATACCAAGTGGAAGTGAGGGAGAGAAACTGTTTAGATAAAAGCAGTTAGGATTAGACATATTTTCTGTTTTGCTGATTTATAAGGGCAACTGCTATGTATGTGCTCTTTTTTCTTGTTCCAGATTCTCTGTCTCCAAGAAATTCAGGAGAATCACTTTTGGGAGCAACTGGAACCAGCACTTATGATGATGGGTATCTATTTTCATTTTGATAATAACTAGACCAAGGCTGCCCCCTCTGATGCCTCCGAACATTGCCAATCTCTTTCTGATTATTTGTCTTACCTCTTTAGTCTGATCAGAGGCATGGTTGTGTAAAGTTTCAGTGATCTCTTGAAAGTTCCTTGGGGACTTCACTATTTGGGAACTAGCTCAGAAGTTTGTTCTCCCTATTCTCTCCTTATGGGTTTCTGAAAAGTGTTAAACCAAATTCTTCCTCAGGGCCAAAGTAGATATTGTAGAATGTGGAAGGCTTCGGTCAGAGTGCAGCAATGGTGGTGAAAGGAGCTGTTTAACTTTCTACACAAACCGCTGTTTCCCCACCCACACAGATTTCTTCCATGGGGCAGGAGGGGCAGACTTTTATTTTACTGCTGAGATGGAAAATAGCCCGAGTGTTTGTCTGAAAATGCTTTGTATTTCCCTCTGCTTTCAGTGAAACACACCCATAGTCCTCACACCCACACTCACACTTCTTGTCATGTAAGAATGGAGATATTCACACCTCTTCTCCATGTGCTGGGACCTGTTTGAAAATGGACTGGTGTGAAGACATTCAGCACCATCCTGGCTTTTGAAAACTCTCTTGTGGGAGTGGCAAAGATTACTTTATGTTCTCCAACACATGGGAAGGAGTAGGAAGCAGAGGGGTGGAGGACCCTAGGGGTTCGGAGTTATACAATTACAACAATGTCTGCTATTATTATGCATCAACACCTGATACTGCAAATGAGGAGTTTGGAGGAATTCCCCCCGGGGTAGGTGGCTCTGCGGGTGAAGGGGCTGCTATAGAGGTGGTGACAGGTAGAGGGAGATACGGGAAAGGGAGAACAAATCACTCAATCCGACCCAAAATTTCTAACAATAATCTGGCGAATTCAAAACATTTTAAGGATGCAAGACAAAAACAAACCCGGCCCAAAAAGTACAATAGAACATTGGCAATCCCAAAGATTACTTATACTACAACTTTACAAACGATTCGGCCCGAAAACAATAGGAATATATTGGCAACTCCAAAAAATCCTCCTGACAAGATACAGCTGAGATGCCAGGATGGTGGTCCCTCTGGGTTAAGGGTGGTGCTGTTCAATGCCAGGTCAGTAAATGGAAAAACCTCCATCATTCGAGATCTAATTCAGGAGGAACAAGCCGACCTGGCATGTATAACAGAGACCTGGTTGGACGAGGGGGGAGGGGTGAATCTCTCCCAACTGTGTCCGCCAGGTTACTCCGTTCAGCACCAGCCGAGACCCGGAGGGCGGGGAGGAGGAGTGGCAGTCGTCTATAAGGTGTGCATTCCCCTGATCAGGTGCCCCATCCCACAATCATCGTCATTTGAGTGTGCCGGCTTTAGGTTAGGTGACCGGGACAGGATAGGGATTCTGTTAGTGTACCGACCACCCCGCTGCACGACAGTCTCCCTACCTGAGCTAGCAGGAGTGGTCTCGGACATGGCGTTGAGCTCCCAGCGGCTTTTAGTCCTGGGGGATTTCAATATCCATGCCGAGACCGCTCTTTCAGGTGCAGCTCAGGACTTTATGGCCGCCATGACAACCATGGGCCTGTCCCAACTAGTATCTGGTCCCACCCATACTGCCGGACACACATTGGATTTGGTCTTTTCTCAGGGATGGGGTGACAGTGTCGGGGCGGAGGAGCTGACCATCGCTCCATTGTCATGGACCGATCACCACCTGATTAGGTTTAGACTGACTGTACCTTCTAACCTCCGCAGGGGTGGTGGACCCATTAGAATGGTCCACCCCAGGAGACTCATGGATCCAAATGGCTTCCTGACGGCTCTTGGGGAATTTCCCACCTCCCTGGCTGGCGACTCGGTCGATGCCTTGGTCTCTCATTGGAACACCGAGATGACTAGGGCAATTGACACAATCGCTCCGGAACGCCCCCTCTCGAGTAACCGAGCCAATCCAGCCTCTTGGTTTACTGAGGAGCTGGCGGCAATGAAGCGAAAGAAGAGGTGGCTAGAGCGCGTGTGGCGAAAGAATCCGACTAAATCAGCCCAAACACATCTGAATGCCTTTCTAAGGTCCTACGGTGTGGCAATAGAGGCAGCACAAAAAACATCCTTTGCCGCCAATATTGCATCTGCGAAGAATCGTCCAGCTGAGCTCTTCCGAGTTGTCAGGGGTTTGTTAAATCCGCCGAAAAGCGAGATCCCTGACAGCTCGGGAGCTCGCTGTGAAGCGTTTGCTCGATTCTTCGCAGATAAAATTGGGCGGATTCGGTCGGATTTCGACACCACTTTACCTGCAGTCTCTGAGGATGTAACGAGAGCATCTGCTTGTCAGGTTTTATTGGATTCCTTTCAATTGGTTCAGCTTGAGGATGTGGACAGGATCCTTGGAGAGGTGCGACCCACCACATGCATCCTAGACCCCTGTCCATCCTGGCTGATAAAAGAAGCCAGAGGGGGTTTGGCAGAGTGGGTGAAGGTGGTGGTTAATGCCTCCTTGCAGGAGGGCAAGATTCCAGCGAGCTTAAAACAAGCTATTATCAAACCGCTGTTGAAGAAACCATCACTGGACCCCACTCAATTAGACAACTATCGGCCAGTTTCCAATCTCCCCTATTTGGGCAAAGTCATGGAACGTGTGGTGGCAGCGCAACTCCAGGGATTTCTGGTAGACACTGATTATCTTGATCCGGCACAGTCTGGCTTTAGACCGGGACATGGAACGGAAACAGCCTTGGTCGCCTTGGTAGATGATCTTCGCAGGGATCTAGACAGGGGGAGTGTGTCCCTGTTAGTTCTGCTGGACCTCTCAGCGGCCTTCGATACCGTCGATCACGGTATCCTTCTGGGACGCCTCATGGATATGGGGCTCGGGGGCACTGCTCTGCGGTGGCTCCGATCCTTCCTTGAGGGTCGGAAGGTGTTATTGGGTGACACCTGTTCGGCCCCACAGCCATTGTCATGTGGAGTCCCTCAGGGATCAATTCTGTCCCCAATGTTGTTTAACATCTACATGAAGCCGTTGGGGGAGATCATTCGGAGTTTCGGACTGCGATGCTATCTCTATGCAGATGATGTCCAGATCTGTCACTCCTTTTCACCTGTCACCAAGGAGGCTGTCCAGACCTTGAACCGGTGTCTAGCTGCTGTGTCGGACTGGATGAGAGCTAACAAATTGAAATTAAATCCAGACAAGACAGAGGTCCTACTGGTCAGTCGTAAGGCCGAACAGGGTATAGGGTTACAGCCTGTACTGGACGGGGTTACACTCCCCCTGAAGTCGCAGGTTCGCAGCTTGGGAGTGATCCTGGATTCACCGCTGAGCCTGGAACCCCAGGTCTCGGCGGTGGCCGGGAGAGCTTTTGCGCAATTAAAACTTGTGCACCAGTTGCGCCCGTACCTTGGGAAGTCTGATCTGGCCACGGTGGTCCACGCTCTTGTTACATCCCGAATAGACTACTGCAACGCTCTCTACGTGGGGTTGCCCTTGAAGACTGTTCGGAAACTTCAACTAGTCCAGCGAGCGGCGGCCAGATTGCTCACCGGGGCGACATACAGGGAGCATACCACCCCCCTGCTATGCCAGCTCCACTGGCTGCCGGTTCAGTTCCGAGCACAATTCAAGGTGCTGGTCTTGACCTATAAAACCCTGTACGGTTCCGGTCCAGTGTATCTGTCTGAACGTATCTCCCGCTACGTCCCACCTCGGAGCTTGAGATCATCTGGGGAGGTCCTGCTCTCGACCCCACCACTCTCACAAATGAGGCTGGTGGGGACGAGAAGCAGGGCTTTCTCAGTGGTGGCCCCTCACCTGTGGAACTCACTCCCCGGGGACATCAGAGCATCACCATCCCTCCTCTCCTTCAGGAGGAGGGTGAAAACTTGGTTATGGGACCAGGCCTTTGGGCAACCAGGCAATTAAAGATCAGCAGGATGGACGAAATGGTATTAAAAGCGGATCTATGAGACAGCAAACACTGACAATGTAAGGGAGGAATTTAGGTTTGTATTGTTTTTATTGATTTTATTGACTTTTACTGGAATAATGCATGAAGCTGTTAGTAACTGTGAATTTTACTGTAAGTTGTGATGATTGTTGTGATGCTGGCATCTAATCGTGCCTTACTGTGTAAGCCGCCCTGGGTCCCCTTCGGGGTGAGAAGGGCGGGGTAAAAGAACCCCAAATAAATAAATAAATAAATAAATAAAGATTAGGTCATTCCCCAATCCCAAGAGAGAAATCACACGTATTCACCACAATAAATATATCATTGGGTAGATGAGAGTTTAATCTATGTGGGGGAGAAGATGCACAACAATGATTATTTTTGCATGTTATCTCTCCCCTGCGGCAGTGGGAAATTAGTGGTAGACTTGGAAACCAACAGTGGATGGTCAGGGGATTGATTTAAAGCAGAACAATATACAGAGGTGAAAGGTAGTCCTTGCCATTCCTCTGCTTACACTGCATAACTCTGTAGAACTGCATTCTGTCTGGAAAATGTTACGTATGTGTTCAGTGTCATGTGTAGTTTGGTTTTGCAAATAAAATGTCACAAGACTTTGGGAGTTTTTAACTTTTAGATGGTTTTTGCTTGTATCCAAACAAAAGAACTTCATGCCCAAACTTCATACCAGTACTAGTGAAAATCTGATTTTATCTGACTTGGCACAGTTTGCCAAGGAGAATGGAAGTAATATTTCATAGCTTATTTACAAAAGCAGAAGTGAGAAGAATGGCTATATTATCTCATCATGCTTAAAGATGCTTGAAACCTAATTCTGTGTGCTTTTACTTAGAGTTTACTGGACCTTGCTCTGTCTGACCAGAGTAGAACCAATAACCAATTGGATACACCTGTGTGTTGATTCACTAATCAACAATTGATTGAATTCCAGATAGTGGGTGTTTAAAGACTGCAGCTTGAAGTAGTTAGTTGGTTAAATTGTTCTAATAATGGCTTTTGTTGTTTGGCTAGGCTTTACCTGTATCTTTAAGCGGCGGACAGGAAGAAAGACAGATGGATGTGCCATCTGCTATAAGCAGAACATGTTCCAGCTGATCAGTTCAAACCCTGTGGAGTTCTTTCGGCCTGGCTTAGACATCCTCAACAGAGACAATGTGGGTCTGGTGTTACTACTGCAGCCCTTACTACCAGAAGGTTTAGGAGACAAATCAATCAGTCCTTTATGTGTGGCAAACACTCATGTGTTGTACAATCCTCGTCGAGGAGATATCAAACTAGCCCAGATGGCTTTACTCCTGGCAGAAATTGACAAGACTGCAAAAATGGCTGATGGCAGTTATTGTCCTGTCATCTTATGCGGTGACCTGAACTCTGTACCTGACTCACCGCTGTACAAGTTCATTCGAAATGGCCAGTTGTATTACCATGGGATGCCAGCCTGGAAGGTAAGCAGAGGAAGAGCTAATAGATAGTGGCAGCTGGATTGATGTAGCTCTTTAGTGTGTAGTCCCTTTCTCTCTGGCCTTAGAAGTGCCTAAGAATACACCTTGCTTTTTCTTTGTATCTCTTTGTAGTTTTATTTCTTTCTTTCAGCAAAGCCGATTAATTTCCTTTCCACTAAAAGGAGAGCACTAAAGTCCTTATAAATGGAGGGTTTTATCTGTTTGACTGTTATTTCCATTATTGTTACTCTACACTCATGCAAAGTAGGAAGTGTGTGAAGTAGCTAAAGTAGGCACATAAACATGGAACTGTCAGGTTTAAAACTTGTCAGTAAATTAAATCAAAACTTTGATTTTAATCCAAGCAAACAGTTTTTTTGCCCAGTTCCAGTATATGTTAGACTTACTCCTCATAACATTAAATGACAAAAAACAACAAAATGGAGATCAAATAGGTACATTTTTTCTGTAATTGATACTATGAAACCTGTTATGCCACTCACTGCCATGTGAGTGGCAACTGTAAGATGTAGGTGTGTGATTTGGATGCACAGATATCTCTTGTGCATTAATAATTTTTAAGATTATTACATTCTAAATCTCCTTCTGTTCTTGGTTGTAGTGTTACCATCTGCCACAGTTAAGTTTCCAAAGCCCTGAAATGACCAGAAAGAGTCTCGATTTGATTGGGCCACTTTTTTCTTTGTGATCATTAAGTTTCCATCATCCTATGTACCTATTGGAATTATAAAACACATTTACTCTGCAAACCAGGGGTGAGAATGTGCAGCCAATGGGTTACATGTGAATCCTTAGCTTATTTTTCTTTGGAGGGAGGGATGGATAAAAATGCCAAGGAGGCCCTAAAGTCTTGTGGCTGGAGTGGTTATTAGCCATTTAGCTGTGTTTGGGGTCTTTTTGTACTCTTAGCATTTTGGGACTTGAACAAGATTTTTCTTCAAGTAGGAAGTGTCCATCTAGCATGGGGATTATGGAGGCCATTCTGTGGTAAAATGGGTGCAGGGAATGGGGGTTGCAACGTTCAAGAGTTCTGTTGTAGTGAAGGAACCAGTGAAGCCCACAAAGCCGTAACAGTTGGCCCACCAGTGGAAGGGGTAAATCTTGGTTTTCTGATCTTATTTAAAGGTGCATGTGCACCAACTGTCAATTTTTGCTGTGTCTGAGAAGAGGATATGCCTCAAAAGACTGCTGCAAGTATTTGTGTTTTGCCCCTTCTGCCTCTGTAGGTGTCTGGACAGGAAGAACTCTGTCAGAATTTACACCAGCGGAAACTGCTGACACCCCTTTGGCCTAGCTCCCTGGGTATAACTGATAGCTGCCAGTATGCCACTCTTTGCCAAAGCAAGAAGTCAGGTGAGCTTCCTGGGGGAATTGCAATTTTGATTTCTTCCACAAACTTTACATTTGAAAGTAGGATTTCTTTTCCTTTCTTTAATAGTCTGGAGCCTTTCCACCTTACTACTTTTTCAGTTTCCCAAAGTCACCTCTTTCCTAAAGGCAGTGACCGTAACATTTGATATTTTGTGCTATCTTCCTAAATTTTTGAACACAAATCCCATTGAAAGGAATATGGTTTATTTCTGTACATGGATAAGATTTCATTGTCCTTTGGTAATTTTTACTGCAGTGAAAATAGCAATGATCTTCATGCCCATATTTATGTCCTGAATTAGAGAATACAAGGTACTTTTCAGGTTGTATGGCGTTTCTCAGAATCTTTTATATAACACTGACTGGTCCTAACTTTCTTACAATAATGGAATTCAGAAAGGAGTGGAAGAGTTATTTCCACAGTTGCCAACTATTTCTGTGGTTTGCAGCACAGTAGCAAAGCGCAAGGGCAGATGTCTTTACTGTATCTGGTTGTGATCCCAAGGTTGTGCCAGTCAGTTTTTGTACAATATTATTTCTAACACACACTTTTTGCTTGAAAAGCACATGTCTGCATTTTAGATGGATTAGGAATCAGCTGGTTTTCCTTATAATACTCAGTAAGAGCACCTCAAGTTTTGTGGTTATGTAATATTGTTAGGGTGGCTATAACCCCCTTACTTTTCTTATGCCATCTGGACAGTGATATTCTTGGGTGCTCTGTTTTGAAATTCTTCTATCACAATGTTGATTTTATTTATTTCTCTGTTTATTTTTATCCAAATGGTCTCCCTCTGGTTTGATCACTTGCATGGATTTATGTAAAAGTTAATTTGTCATTAACATTTAATGCTACGCTCCTTCCTTTTCTATACACCTCAATTATTATTTTCCAATTGTAGCAATCATCTCACCTTTTATAACCCCAAAATCATATTTACCTTCCTGAACAAGAACTTCAAGCTGTGAGAGCTGTTCAGCAGTGGAACTCTCTGCCCCAGACTGTGGTAGAGTCTCCTTTGGAAGCTTTTAAACAGAGGCTGGATGGCCATCTGTCGTGGGGTGCTTTGAATGCAATTTTCTTGCTTCTTGGCAGGGGCTTGGACTGGATGGCCCATGGGGTCTCTTCCAACTCTATGATTCTATGATTCTTGTTTGTTCCCTAAATTCTGCGCATAGGCATCCAAAGCATTACACTTTTTTTCTATTGTGAATTTTACTATACTTTCCATTCTCACACACAACTATTTTTGAATTCACATCCTTTTGTTTGGAAGATACTTTTTATAGACGTTTAACCTGTCATTTCCAATCCCCAAAGGATTTAGTTTAATTCCCTCTTGATCAGATTGCCATGCTTTTGCCAAATATATTTTCCCCAATTTTTGTGAAGTGTAGTGTAACTTACCTGTAACTAATAATCCTTTGTCTAAGGCATGAATATAATGTTCACAGAAGCCAAAGCTCTCCTGTTAATATAATCTGCATAGCCAGTCATTTCCTACAAGGTCTTCAAATTCTTGTCTCTATCTTTAACTGGTACAATTGGCAGGAATATATTTCACTGGTAAAATCGGTGAGAATACTACCGGGGCCTCTAAACTCTTCAGTTTTCTACTGAAAAGTGTTTTTTGCAGTGATGTTGGCTCCCACATGAATCAGGAGAAAGGGGTACTCCTTTCTGTTCTTGATGAGCTTTGACAACCTGTCAATGGCACCCTGGTTACATATGCCTAGGAAGACAGCACACTTCCCATTTCATCTTGTCCAATTGGCATACAATTCCCTCGATGCCCATGAACACTAGCACCTTTCTTTTTTTCTTGCTGCATTGGCAGTTTTTCTTGTTGTTTCCAATTAATGAGGGAAACCTACTAAATGATCTTGGGGAAGTCTAAGAGCAAGGCATTGATAAGCCTCTTCTGAATAAATCCTTCCAAGAAACCTCAGTAATAGGGTTGCCAAAGCTATTGTTATGTCTGCAATGGACAACTTCAGGGACTGTTTTTCCCCTCTATAACTCTCTGCTGGTAGCGCTAGGTCTCGGAGTTCCAAATTCCCATGGCAAATGAACACTGGGAGTGGTTTCTGGTCCATTTCCAGTTTAACTTCCCCCACAATTTGGGGTTTTTTGACTTGCCAGTCCTGAAAAACAGAGATTTTTTTAAAATCCACCCCCACCCTGCTGCTAGTGGACCACACTTTGTGCATCCTGATCTAAACCTTTGAAGGGAAAAAAATGTAGATCAGGTCTCCCAAGATCATCTTGCAAACAAACTAGTAAAATGTTTGCAGGTGACCCCAAATTGGGAGGGCTAGCTAATACTCCAGAAAACAGGGTTAGAATGGCCTCAACAGATTAGATTGTGGAGCCAAAAGTAACAAAATGAATTTCTGATCAAGTAGGATATTTCACTTAGGCAGAAGAAACGAAATGCACAGGTACAGGATGGGTGTCACCTGGCTCGACAACAGAACATGTGAAAAAGATCTTGAAGTCTTAGTGGACAACAAGTTGAACATGAGCCAACAGTGTGATGCAGTAGCTAGAAAATCCAGTGGGATTTTGGGCTGCATCAAAAGAATGTAGTGTAATTGTGTCTCCCTATTCTGCTTTGACCTCACCTAGAATACTGTGTCCAAGTCTAGGCACCACAATTCTAGGGAGATATTGTCTAGCTGAAATGTGTTCAGAGTAGGCAGCTAAAATTCACAATGGTCTGGAGGCAAGTAGGCTTGTTTTCTGCTACCCTGGAGACCAGGACTAGGAGCAATGGGTTCAAATTACAGGACAGGAGATTCCACCTGAATATTAGGAAGAACTTCCTGACTGTAAGAGCTGTTCAAATGTGGACTCTCTGCCATGTAGTATGGTGGATGCTCCTTTCTTTGAGGCTTTTAAACAGGCTGGATGGCCATCTGTTGGAGGTGCTTTGTACTTTTCCTGCATGGCAGTGGGTTGACTAGATGGCCCATGTGTTCTCTTTCAACTCTATTATTCTATTGTTTTATAACACAAAGTTGTAAATCTATGATTTTTCGTTTTCAGATGTCTCGGGTCATAAGGCTTGTCCCTTATTTTGTTCCTTGCCATTTAAAAAAACTTGTTTACATTTTTATCATTGTGTATTCCTTCCAGTGTCATCGGTGAGGCAGCAGGAGGAGTAAATTCAGTATAAGTAATCAATTTGAACACCTCTGAATTATTTTTTCTTGCAGACAGGCGCAAATACAGCCGTGCATTCTTGCTTCAGTTCCGCTACTGTGATGCTGCTTGTGAACGACCTTCAGACTTGGTCCTGTTGGAAGGTGTGACAGATGCTGTACCAGGTACCTAAACATGGCCTCCCCTGATTCTGCTGCTTGTAGCAATTATATGCGTCATAGGCAAAGACCTTTTAATAGTTAATGATTTCATACATTCCAGAAAGGTTTATGAATTGGGTTTGGGCAACCACACCGGGGTGTCTGTAACAGTCAACCTCACCTGCTCTAGTCTTTAGCTCCGTCTACTACTGGTAGGTGATTTTCTGACATGCTTGTCAACCAGTAGTTTGGCAATTGGTCTACCCAACTTGTGAAGGTTTCACAGCATTTCTTGCATTGAGGAAGGATATCAGTTTTTTAGTACTCTTATTATTTATTTTGTGAAACCTGCCTGATCTGGTGTAACATGAGGAATCTTTGTATATTCTGTGCTTCTCCTTAGGGCAGCCTGTTGTGGTTTGGTAGATACAGGTCTTTTTGTATCAATAGCAAATCAATGATCCAAAAGAATCTTGTGACAAATGCCACAAATCTCAAGGCAATTTGTGGTTGTGTGTTTGTGCGCGGTTTTTTTTTAAAAGTGTTTTCAAGATAAGAGATTTTGCAAAAAACAGATTCTCTTAGAAGCCAGAAATTGATTATGTCTGAGTTCTTAAATGCCCCTAAAGTAGTTTGGAAGACAGGAAGCTGCCTTATTCTGAGTCAGACCATCGATCTGTCTAGTCCAGTATTTGCTCAGGATACAGCTGTCCAGGTAGAATTCTTTCCTAGCCCTGCGTGGAGAGACATGGTATTATCTGATGATGTCCTACCACAATATTATCAAAAACTTCCAGAATAATTTTTAAAATCAGATGTTTGTTCAGGTTAGTATGGTGTTCTTCAAGTCCTTTCAAGACATATATTTTACATGGATAGCAGCACTGTTACTCATCCCTTGAATAGAGAAATATGAATCCATAGATGGCTAAATAGCTAGATCCATTTCTGACTAAGGCAGAAATTCTTAGCTCTGATAACTTCTGCATGTAAACCTGTTGCTAGTGTTTGCCAAGAAAGAATTTGAGACCCAGTCAGATTTTTTGTTAGAAGCATCAAGGCAATTTACATTCATCAGTGAAACTAGTGATTCCTCAATTTTGGTGTTAAATGATGGGGTTGAGGTAGGCAGCAACTTTCATTCTGCCTTTTATTGCAAGTCATGCTCAATGCTACAAACTCAGTGGTATATATAATTGTTTTGTTTTTGTTGTGTTGTATTGTAGATTGTCCTGCATACTGGCCTAAGGAACCTATTGTGGTCAACAACTCTGATTCAGAAATGTTTTGTTCAAGGTAACCTGAATGAGAAGTGGAACAGGGGATTTAGTAACTGAAGCAAGCTCATAACCAATAATATACAAAGACTAGAGAATGGTATCACTGGAGATAGTGTGTTTACAATCATAACACTCATGATGCAATAGAAGACCTAATAGCAATAGACGAATCCCACCGCCCCAAGAAAGCCTTCTCAAGAGAAGGGAGTTGCCAGAGGCAGTCTGAGAAGCTATTCTTGGAGAAATTGAGTCTTCCCAGTTTTCACAGATTTACCAGGTGAAGTGAGAGATGTTTTCCCATCCTTTTGATACAGTTAGCCAACCAGGATGGCGTAAGTAAAGTACTTTCTCCAGACTAAAATGGAGACATTGGATAAGAGTTCTATCAGGAGACTTGAACATCCACGGGCTAAACCACAGACTTAGAGCAATTCATTCACTGCCAAGACAGGTCGTATACCATCAATAAAAAACAATCCTTGCATACTTATCTGGAAGTTTACAAGGCCCAAATCATTATTCTCTGTATACTCCTTTAATTAATTCCTCCTGTTTCAATTAACACCTTTTGTCCAGATTGCAGCAGGAAGAAAAAATGTTAATTCTATTTGCAGGTCCTGAGCCCAAATTCCAATAAATCATTTGCACTCTCATTCTCTTGGAGTTAAATGCAGAGGTGCATTGTTATTTCCAAATAACTGATGAAATGTTGCTGTAAAAATAGTTTGTGAATAGCAGTTGTAATTTCCATGCTCTTGACTCCATTGTTGAATTTTGTATCCCCTTCCCCTTCTTTTGGGGAAGGGGAGTGCTTTCTTTTGTGCAGCTACCCAGGCAGTATTCAGCATGGCCTCAACCTGACTTCTGTCTACAGCCACTTCCTTCCCACAAGAGGTCGCCCTGAGATCACAACCATGCCAATGGGTGTGGGTGCCACTGTGGATTACATCTTCTACTCAGCAAAGCCAATCAAGAACAACAATCTAGAAGGTGAGGAACATGAGGGTGACACAGTTAGTTGATGAGGTGGCTACAGCCTGTATATGATGTTCTTCCTCAGAGCTATTAATGGGTCTTCTCCCCATCCATGGACCTGTCAATTGAATTAATAGAGTACACAGAAGTCAGAAAATACATTGATTCTCTTGTTTCCATTTGAGTGTAGCTTTGCAGTGAGTTGTAGTAATATGTAGATAATATACCCGTTGTACTTCATGTGGTCTTTCCTTAAATTATGATCAGAAAAGGCTAAAATGTTTTTCCTTTTTCTTGACATAATTTCTTTTCCTTATCATAATTCAGCTCTGACATGTTCTAGCAACGTTTTGTTTACATCTGCAGTTTATTCCCTAGAGTAGATCAGTATAAGTAAAAGTGTTTTTAAAATTCTTCCTGACATCATTTCCTTCGCAAATCATAATGCCGTGTATTTAACTTGGGGCATTAACTTCATGTTATTAAAAAACAACAATAATCCTTCTTCCTAAGCCTAAATTGTCTCAGAAAGACCAAAAAATGGTAGAAATGTCCCCATACCTACTAAATTGTATTTGGGGGCACAGTATTTAATCATTTTGTGGTGAGATTCAACCCTCCCAAGTTCTGGGGAGCTAATATGGCCCTCTACCCTTCCACTATTGGTCACTTCCATCCTAGGGGATGCCATGGGGACAATGCTAGTGTATCTGTCTCTTTCTCCAGATATTTCTACCACACTCTATGACAGTAGAACTTAGGATCATGTACAATGGAAGCTGATATAAAGAATTTAAAATAGTAAAAATAAACTATAAACATGTGGAACATCGGTTAAGATTTAAAACCATGTTCATTACCAATTGAGATAAATTAGAGGGGTCAAAAGGCTCTGATGAATAGCTTTTTTAAAACAGTCAAGTCCTTAAAAACTGTAGTCATGGCTAGTAGCAATGCTGGCTGGGAAATTCTGGGATGTATAGTCCAAAAAGTAACTCTTCCTAGCTATGATGAAAAGTGGTTATAGATTGCATGTATGGCAATTATAGGGTAACGACAAGTTCTTGAACTACATTTTCACTTCGTGACATTACAAATATGCAGTATCACGCAGTATTTAATTATTTTGTCACTCTTCTAGCTGAAATGTTCAGGAAGAATAACTGTATGGATATTGTGATCTCATTAGTCAAGGAAGATAATAGCAGGTCTTTATTAGAATGAAAGCAAATGACACAAAGGGGGGTGATGTATAAATTAATGTCTAGATTGCATTGGGGGCACAGTATTTAATTATTTTGTGGGGAGATTCAACCCTGTCTATAGAAATAGATTCCTAAGTTTCTGTTGACACAATTGTGCACTTTTAAAAACGCTTTATGGTTTTCTTAATAATAACAATAAGAACAACAACAATTTTATTTGTATTCCATCCCATCTCCCTGCCAAGGACATGGAACAGCACACAACAAAAATGGTAGCCATTCGATGCCAGACATACATAATATCTGAGTATTACAGCTTAAGTAAACAAGATAAACAATAACAAATAAATAAAACGTAATCAAATAAGCAATTCGTGCAAATATTTCTTTGCAGTTTCTCTGTGGTTAGAGCCCAAGTTCATGTTCTCTATGTGGAGTATTTTTCATTGAACTCTGGTTCGTTTCTAGGTCCCAGGATATATCAAGATGGAGCCCTGAAGCTACTGGGACGTCTTTCCCTCCTCTCTGAAGACATCCTTTGGTCAGCAAATGGCTTACCGAACCCTTTCTATTCATCAGATCATCTGTGTCTGCTGGCCAGTTTCGGCCTAGAGATCTCCAGCTTCTGATCATGTGCCAGATCTCTAGGACTTACTCATCAGTTAGTCTGACTGGGAAAATCATGCCATTTGAAGTTTGCATCAACTAACCAAAAAGAAAACCCCCACCCACTCCAGCAATTTTTCCTTCCTCACCCTTTCCTTCCCCTATTTTTGAGATGTCCTTGTTCTTTTCTCCCATGGTTCTTTTTTTCTCCATAATAGGATAACCTAAGATTTACCCTGTAATGCTGCAGTTCTAGACCGAGCTTCACTTCTAGTTTTTGACCTCTTTTTTCTCTGGCTTGCTACTCCATCTCTGAGAAGGACATCCTGCCAGCAAACAGATTTCTTGGTTTGGTGAGAATACTTTTTGCTACCGTTATATAGAAGGTGGAAGGGCTTGTTGTGTGCTCATCGCAAAGATCTTGACTGAAGAGGCAAGACAAGGGCTGAATCTTTTACGGAGGTTCTCCTTTTTTTGCTTTCTGCTGCTAAGAGCAGGGGAAGTAAGATTTATTATTTTCCATGGCACTCAGGTCAAAGTGGTGGTGCTGCCTGGTTTTGGCAATTGTGCAAATTATATTAATTTTGGTGGTGGTGCTGCTACTACCTTTCAGAGGTAGGTGCTTGCTGGCTGCTGTTTCCCTTTATCTGGTTAGAAATGAAATGAAAACAACTGGTGCCACCTGACACACCAGAGAGACTTTTTAAGACTTCCCAGTCCAGGCTTCAGATCTTCTGCAAAAATGCCAGATACGTTTGAAAGCTTTCAGCCCACATTGTGAAGAAGTGATCTCTCAACTCTTAAGAGCCCCATTGTGTTTTATTCTCAGGTTCTGTTTGCTTTTGTTTTTTCTTTCTCATTGTAAGCTTTGGGACATTGTTATTGCCTCTTATGGCATCCAGAGAAGAAAGGACTGCTAAAATTGATAGGAAAAAGAAAAGTGCTTTTTTGTGTTTTGTCTGTTTGGAGCTTGGAGGCCATGCCACTGAGACCTCAGCTGGGCCTGGCAGTTGATGCTCATTTTTTTTTCTTTCAGTACTGATGGACTGTGGCTACAGAATAAGTGGTCAGCTCTAGATTAACCCCACCCTTTCCTTGAAACATGGAAACCACAAGATCTAACATCAGCTATGTGGGGGCCAAATTTATTTTGGAAAAGAAAATGTATTGGGAGTTCTCTGTATTTTTAAAGTTTTTCTTAAATTAAAAAAATAAAGTTCTATGATTTCAGAAAAATGGTAAACTACTGGTTGGGACTAAGGGATGGGAATGAACAGAAATGCTTTGCAAGGGCAGAGCTGTGGCTGTAAGGGTGCCCTCAGGTGGACACAGTGAAAAATGTTTAGGATGCAGTTTCACACTTCATAGCAATTCCCAGGTGCTAGAAAAACCTGCTTAAAACAGTGAATGCTGCACCTTGTGTAATTTACCTGAATTTAATAATGCTTAGTGTGTCATGTGCTTTCTGAACCAGAATGAGAGTAGATACGACATTTTAAATGAGTTGATGCTCCCTTTTCTCAGTATATTTAGTGAAAAATGGAGAAGACTGACAAGAGTACACCTGATCTCAGAGGTAGGAAGAATGAAGATGATTATTTACTGCTAGATCTTGAGCTGACAGCATAGTAGTAGAAAAATAGCAAATATATTTGTGCCTCAGATCTAATGACAAGTGTTTCAGGCCCAGTGTCCCTAGGAAGATTGCTGAGCTGGCTTTAACTCCATTTTTATGCAGCTCTACTGGGTGTTGTTAAAGTTTTCTTTTAGAATTCTTGGTCTGCAGTGATTTTAGTATATAATTGGAACTGGGTAGATAGCATTTAAAGAACCAATATAGTGTGGTGGTTTGAGCTTTGGATTAAGACTCTGAAGATCGGGACTCAAATTCTCCTTAATCACAGAAATCCACTTGGGCAAGATACGTTCACACAGCCTCAGACGAAGGCAAAGGCAAATGCCCTCTTAGAAAACGTTACTAAGCAATCTTTGTGATAGATTCATCTTAGAGTTGCCATAAATCAGACAACTTTAATGCATGTAACAACAACTTCACACTATATCCAAAGTAAAGTGCAAGAAGTTACAAAGTGCAAGAGGTGATTGGTGTTGTCCAGAGTCACTTGTATCTTGCTTCACTTCTCAAAGGCACAATTTGCACCTAGCTCTGACCACTGCATGGTGTTGTTCTAACTCAGAAATAAGACCTTGAGTGCCTGCGAGGCACTTGTTCTGAGGGATTTCTTCAACAAAAGTTAAAATTTATCATTCAGGAATTCTCAGGATTAAAATTAAGTAACTGTTAGCTATTAAAGCAAAGGCATGCAGTGCCAAAGGTAAGAGGAAAATCTCTTGTGACTCAGAAATACGTGTGCATAGTTAATATATATATAGATTTCCTTGTCATCACCTACCTCAAGTTTTGTTGAAGCAAAATTAAATTTCTTGCGAGGAGGGTGTGTGTTCTGTACATGTACTCAAACATCTGTGACCTCAGATGTTTGCAGCAAAAATTGAGGTTCCCGGAGTTGTCACTGAAACTGGGTCGTTGCTGCAACCACCTCTTGTGGTGCATGCAGGAGAGTGCCAGAGCATATGCCAGTGCCACCGAGATCTCAAAGACTACGTTGCATTCCCTTTTGGAAGGGAAAAGAAAAAAATGGTCTTGGAGTTTAGGGCAATGCCACCAGAATTTAGTAATGCCTCTAGCCATCTAGAAAATGGTAAGGGCAGATAAAGTCTCAGGAGATTGCACATGTTACTTATTGCCCACCTTTACCCTATTGGGTAAGAGGCTTGGCTGAAATGCTCTGTTGTTGTTGATGTTTATTTGTACCCCGCTTTTTCTCTCCACAAGAATAGATATAGATATAAATACACACACACACACACACAATTTATATCCCACCTTTTCCTACCTCGATAGGGATTCAAGGCAGCTTTACATATGGCAACTATTTGATGCCTTTAGGCAGCAGACAATAAATACATTTAAGTTGAAATTTAAAATTGGAGATAAATTACACATTAAAACATATAACATTATAATCATTCTTAAAATCACGGCATCCACAATTGTAATCCTGTGCCGTTCCAAGTATCAGTCCAAGAAGATACCAATCCTTTAAAGAATGAGCCCCATTTAACTCAGACTTACTTCCGAGTGGACAGGTCTAGGGCTGCACTTGGAAGGATGCAGTTTCTGACCTTAAATTCTTAGATTTCCTCTAAAGGTTTGTTTGATGGGACTTCATGTGTCACTATCAGTGACTTGCATTTTTGTTAAGGCATTGTACTGCTTTCCACACTTCACTGCAGACATATTTCTATTGCAGTGCTTTCTTTATGCCATTCTAATTGTTTATTTAATTAATTTGTATACCACCTTTCTTCCAGATTGGGATCCAAGGTGATTCCCAGAAGAAGTTGATTAAAAGACATACATTGTAAAATAACAAACATGACCACATCAAACTATCATTTAATATATATATATAAGTTTTGAAATATTTTTAGAATCATGTAGGAGGCCTAGAGGTCCAGTGCAATTCTATGGTATGTTTTTGGTCAGAATTTATGAATCCCTAGATGATCCCTCGGATGTTGGTCCTCCAAGTATAGTGTCTTGGCAGTGGATCCATAGGTGGCCATGGAGCCCTATTGTTGATCTGCATGTTCTCCCGCAGTGAGGACATTGGTTTCCAGGAGGAAAGCGGTTCCGGTCAGGGTTGGCTTGATATGCCTTCCTCTTGGCACATTTCTCCTTTTCATCCACCATTCGTGCCTCTTTGAATTCTGCAGCACTGCTGGTCACAGCTGACCTCCAGTTAGAGTACTCAAGGGCCAGGGCTTGCCAATTCTTGGTGTTTATGCCACAGTTTTTAAGGTTGGCTTTAAGCCCATCAATAAATGTCTTTTCCTGTCCACCAACATTATGTTTCCCATTCTTGAGCTGGGAGTATAGCAACTGCTTTGTGCCATTCTATATGTTTATTTAATTAATTTGTATACTAGTGATTGGGCATTTGGACAACATGGCCGAATAACATGAAATATTGGATTACTGTCATGGGAACAATAGTTTATCTTGAGTAATGTTTCAGGACCATTATAACATGCAGAGAGTCTGTATGAAGACAAGGCAGTTTCCTGTAGGTAGAAAGTTTGCTAACTCTTAATTTTAAGCCACTATATAAGTGCACTGAATGAGGTCTGGCCACATGGACATTCATGGGCAAATTTAATGCTAAAGAACACAGATTTAAACTACACTGGAACACAGGTTTAAACTAAGATGTTATAGCATACTAACACCTAACAAGCTAGGATTTGGGGCCAAAATGACTGCTGTACAATCCTTGTTATTGTAAAGCAGGTACAGTGTAAATTAACTATAGGACTTGCTAGCATCCCTTTTAAGGTCGTTTAATGCTTTTCAATATATTTTTTTATTTTCATAACTTCATAAATTGTTTTTTATATATTTCATATCAACTGTTATTGACATTTTTGTATTGAAATTACAAACATGAACATATGTTTTATACAATTGAAAAACTGAATTAAATTCTAGTACTGATTTAAATATTGGCTGCCTTGAGCCCCAAATCAGGAGGAACTTGATGATAACAACAACAATAATAACCAGTATAACACTATCTCTTTTCAATTGTAATAGAGGGAAGAACTCAAAATCTTTCCTTATTATTTGCCCCTGTTCTTATTATGCACCTTCAAGTCATTTTCTAAGTTATCGTGATTCTAAGGCAACCCTATCATGGATTTTCTGGGGCTGGGAGTATGTCCAAGACTTGTCCAAGGTCACCCACTGGGTTTCCATGGCTGAGTGTGAAACTGAACCCTAGTCTTCAGTCATAGTCCCAAACCATCTCTCATTGTATGTACCTACCTTTAACCTCTCAAAACTTGCTGGGGATTGTAGAGAAGCACTCGATATATCCTTAAAGCTGGATAATTGAAACAAAGGCATCTCCTAAGTCTTCCAGATGTTCTGGAGGATGAAGCTGCTGTTGTGCATCAAGCAACAGAGACATAGTCAAACTCTCTTCTGCCCCACTCCACTAGCTCCCCTTCAGCAATTACAATATCATGTTGGGAGAGTGTTGCAGAACGGAGAGGAATCTTATGGGGAAAAGTCAGGGCAATAGGGCAGTATTCTGTATGGAACTTCATGCTGCATTTGCTAATGCCAGATACCAGCCATTACTGTGCTTGTTTGCACCAACCTCAGAAACATTCATACATTGAACAATTTTACCCCAAATCCTATAGCTAATGGTCTTTTGGGTTCATATTTTTTCCAAGTTGTTGTTCTGGGATAGCAACAGAAGTTCACATACTAAAATACAATATATGTGGGGGAAAGACATAGCTTTATTCCTCAATTAATACGGTATTTACAACTTATTGCTGCACTGTTTCCACCATACCACATGGAATTTTGAAACAAAGTGCAGGCATACAAATACCAGCTCCTATTTTTAACACATTTAGTATAATTACATGTTTGAGGCACGTGGACTGAAACTCAACTCTAGGGTACAGCATTCAGTCTTTGAAGTAGTACAGATGGCTCTCCACATTTACGGATTTTACCTTTGCAGCTTTGATTATTTGCAGATTTGATTAAAATGTTCTAAGAATCTCTAGGTTCTTCAGTGCAACTTTCTCATGAGGTTAACCATAGAATCAGACTGGATTCTTTAGGAATGTCTAGGTCCACCAGTGTGACTACGGACAACTTCAAGAGAAAGGTGGCCACAGTGTCACACCAGAGAACCAAGAAAAAAGAGCATTTAAAAAAAATGGGTCTTGTCCCTTGACTCCAGTGAATGAAAAAGGCTGATTGTACAAAAAGCAGGACCAAAGGCTAGTCTAATAAATATTGGTTCTTCCCAGCTTGTAGTTTTGTGAGATAAATCTACAAAATTCATATTACCTTTCCAGACTCTCAGGATGGATGTGCCACATTCTTTGTCAAGAAATGTAAAACAGAGAGCATTGGATGGCTGAAGCAGAAATGGTGTTTGGTGGCTTCATTTGTTTGCTGTTTATTTGTGCCCGTGGAAATTAAGAGTCCAACCATGTAGAACAGTGGTTCTCAATTTTGGGGAAAATAGACCTTGACATTTGGGAGTTGTAGTTGCTGGGATTTATAATTCACCTACTGAACCCCACCAATCATAGAATTGAGCCAAACTTCCCACACAAAATCCTTAAGGCCAACAGAAAATAGTGTGTTTTCTAATGATCTTCAGTGACCCCTCTGACACCTCCTTGTGACCCCCCCCCCCCGGGGTCCCAACCCCCAAGTTGATAAATACTGATGTAGAAGGACACAAATTCCCTATCCTTAAAGTATCAGTGGCACATGCTTTGCCGATACAATGGCGTAGGGAGGAGCACGTCTGTGGAAAAGGATGATATGAAACCTAGACATTCAGTACAGATTGTTTCTCCTCCCTGGAAGAGCTTTTAAAATATGTATTTCTCCCACACTCCTTTTCATTACATAAGTATATGAGTCCCCTAGATGCAGTTTTCCTCAGAGTCTTTCCCAATTTGCCAAGTTCTCCACTTACAACTGAACTTCTCTAACTACATGTCTGGCAAAGGAACACACATTCAATTTGGGTCTTATGTTTACTTTCACATTAATTGTGGTTCATCACCAGCAAAAAGGGGGTAGGCTGCTTCACAATTGTATCTTCTTAGAGAGCAAGTACTAATGGGAATTACTGGTTCACTTCAAGGGCTCAACTAAATGATGAATGTCAATCATTTGATACCATCTTTATGTGTAATTCTCGAACTTGGCTCAACTTTTCAAGATCAAAAGATGACACAAATATAAAGATTATGTCAGCGGTTAACAGATCATGGCCTGGTAATGAATATTAACCACTTCCTGTTTCCTGCCCATTTTTTCATCTTTTCTTGATAGGTTTAGCCAGTAGCAAGCTAGAAAAACAAAACCAAGAGTAGTTATTTGACTCTGTTAAGACACTTCACAGAAGCAATTGTGGATAGATCAAGATGGGCCCCAGTTGCAGTAGTTTCCACTATTTATTATCCAAAAATCAGGTTCACTGTAAACTACAAAAAGAATATCAATTTTTAAATATAAATATGATCCAGTCATATCGAAAAGTGGTATTTTTTTTACTTGTAGAGACAAAAAGGAACTAGCCACAAGCATGATGCACAGTGCCCTAAACAATGCTCCAAACATCTTAATACTTTGTGGACATACATGATATGTTTGCACCTGGCTCAAAAGTGTTTATGCACTTTCTGTAGCATAAATATTTCAATTGTAGATTTACCCCACCCTCCCTCCATCCACTTGATGTTAGCACACTGGTAAGTCTCATAATTTCAGTAGGACAGGACTAGAAACTCACATCACATTGTTTCACACCCATTCCCAATATACACAAAACGTCATCCTGATCAGCAACAATACTCCCAGCTTCTCCAGCCAGAGATACCCACAGCACATAATTTCTGAAAGTGTTTAATTACACCATAGCTGCTCACTAGATGAGAGGAAGATCAGAGTTGTCTTTTTGTGAAAAGACGGCCAAATTAAAGACAAAGAATGATTATTACTTGAGGTTGAGGAAGAATAGAAAAGTGAAAGAAAGCAATCACATTTCCTGTGATGATTGAAATGCTGTAGCCTGAGCTGCCCAGGATGAACAGGGAAACAAGACACTGTGTAGAAAGCATGGCACAGGTCCTCTGTACATAATACATGAGCTCTTGGTAGATCTTCATTCTCTTTTAACAATGTTAAGATATCAGTATTCCCAATCAGTATAACTATTTCCATTGAATGGGTGAAGTCTGTCATTCCCTATAGAGCTCTCTCAACCTATTTACCACATTCCTTTTCCTAATACAGGCTTCCTTTAACGCCGTGACCAGACAACCCCATCTCCCCTTTCAGTTTTGTCCTTTATTAAACCAGACCCTCGTTACCTCTTTAAAAAATTGCAAATTGGCAAAAAGGTTGTATCCTTACTGTCTACTTTAAAGAAGTCCTCAATCTATGCAATTTCAATATATTGTCGAAGGCTTTCATGGCTGGAATCACTGGGTTGTTGTAGGTTTTTCAGGATGTATGGCCATGTTATAGAAGCATTCTCTCCTGATGTTTCACCTGCATCTGTGGTAGACATCCTCAGATGTTGTGAGGTCTGTTGGAAACTAGGTAAAATGATATATAAACCCTATTTTCCTAGTTTCCAACTGACCTCACAACCTCTGAGGATGCCTGCCACAGATGCAGGCAAAACATCAGGAGAGAATGTTTCTAGAACATGGCCATACAACCCGAAAAACCTGCAACAACCCTATGCAATTTCACTTAGATACTTCTCTCCAATCAGAATGGTTATAAAAAGTTGTGAATCGAGTTTGAGATATAATTTCGAAGTGTCCACATGTAAGCAGGCTTCTACTAAAACCAGCTACCATATTAAATTATCATTTTTTTAAAGTAAGGAGATGAAACATCACTGTTGAAATATAAAGGACAAAGAGAAAGGCAGTTCAAGACTTTGGTCCAGACCAGTTCAAGAAAATCCTGCAATTGTTAAAATGTCGCACAAGTCAGGAAGAGAGGGGAAAGAACTAGGGAGAAAGACTAGGGGAGAGAGAGAAAGACTAGGGAGCACAAAACATGACAGACCCTACACAGAAAATAATGTGCCCCCCAGCCTCCTTCATACATCAATAGCCAAATAACTCAATTCTTCAAAGCAATAAAAATAATTAATATGTGATCTTCATACAGTACGAACAAACACACCTTGGTAAGGGAATACGGCAAGGTGTCTGTTGCTAGAAAAAGAGTAAGACATTGTTTTACCATCAAAAGGCAGACATACATATGGAATCTAGTTGGAGGGATATGTTTTTTCTCCCTCTGGCACCTGCCACTTGAAAGGCTAGAATGCTCAATCAATAACAGATCAGCACCAGAAAGTAAAGGTATAGAAATCTGGTCTCCAACCAATCCTCTTGCATCTTTTGCAATGGGAAACTGTGCTGACTAGACAATGAAGCCATCACTGTCCTTCAGTTGACTTTTCAGGTGCCACCTGAGTTGCCTCCTTCAAAGACCCATTTCCTGGAGACTGAGCCAGTTGGCCGGCTGATGGAGCTATATGATGGGGGAGCAAGTTCTCATCGTACAAGGCACACCATCATTTGAAACTGGAGCATAAGCATCAAGTCAGTGATTCTTAGGGCATACGTGAAGATACAGTTGTCTCTTGCCCCTTCCTCTTCTTGGTAAAAATAAAATTGTCAAGACAGTAAAAATTCAGAAATCCTTCTACAAGGATCAGCACTTGTTTGTTTATTCCCAGCTGCACTTGGCATTCTTCTGGGGTTTCCATATTAACTTCATTGTTTTAGAAAGAGAAAGGTTCATTAAGAGTCTAGAAAAGAGTAAAAGCCTTCCAGCTCTGCATGGACCAGTAGGTTGCTCAGATAGTCCTTTTCTCATTAGGACTTTTAGAGTATAGACCCCCCCCCCCCATCTTGAGACTAGCAGGCCTGATACTTTAAGTTTTGTTTCACCACTCCATTAAAAAAAGATCTCCCCATGGATGTCAGACAAGTGAATACATGGTATGCTGCAGACTAAAACTCTGGGAACAATGCAGGAAAAAACCTTGAGAGAGAGAGAGAGAGAAACCACACACACACAAGACATTGTGCCCACTGTGTCACCTCCCCTTCTGGCATTGTGCATCCTGCAGATAGAACTGGTTCAAAAATGTTGGCCAGAGAGTAGTCCACAAATAGTAGGAAATTCTTTACACTCTGATTTGGTAACCATTCAAATCTGGCATGGCTTTGGGCTCTGCAGGTTTCTTCTCTCCAGATGGTCTAATAAAATGCAAAACAAAACAAGAAGGAAAACATGAGTCCTTGTTAAAGACTGTTCACTTATGAAATTCCCTGAATAGGAAAATATGTCCTTCCCTCTTCTCGGTGTTCTGCATAGTGCTATTACACTTAGGTTGTCTTTGTGGACTTCTAGGCTTCTGGATGTCTCTAGAGAACAGCATGCTGGTCTACATGGATCTTTGAACACATCCAGGATGGCCCTTTTTAATGTGGATCTGAGGCCATCTTAGCATCGTAAGAGTTCTTCAAAGAAAGGTTCTTGGTGGAACCCAGAAAGAAGTCCACCCCCAAGTCTGGACTGGGATTCACAACCATGATTACCTCCTAAGCCAGTGTTTCTCAACCTTCCTACTGCCATAACTCTTTAATACAGTTCCTCATGTTGTGGTGACCCCCCAGCCATAAAACTATTTATGTTGCTACTTCACAACTGTAATATTGCTACTATTATTAATCATAATGTAAATATCTGATATGCAGGATGTATTTTCATTCACTGGACCAAATTTGGCACAAATACCCAATACATCCAAATTTGAATACTAGTGGGGTTGGGGAGGTGGGATTGATATTGTCATTTGGGAGTTGTAGTTGCTGGGATTTATAGTTACCCTACAATCAAAGAGCATTCGGAACTCCACAAATGACAGAATTGAACCAACTTGGCACACAAAACTACCATTATCAACAGAAAATACTGGAAGAATTTAGTGGGCATTGGCCTTGAATTTCAGTGTTGTAGTTCACCTACATCCAGTGAGCACTGTGGACTCAAACAACAATGGATCTGAACCAAACTTTGCATAAATACACAAGATACCCAAAAGTGAACAATGGTGGAGTTTGGAGAAAATACATACTGACATTTGGGAGTTGTAGTTGCTGGGATTTATAGTTCTCCTACAATCAAAGAGCATTTTGAACCCCACCAATGATAGAATTGAGCCAAACTTCCCACACAGAACCCATATGACCAACAGAAAACACTGTGTTTTCGGATGGTCTTTAGTGACTCCTTCGACACCCCCCTCGACCCCCCCCCACTGGTCCCAAACCCCCAGGTTGAGAAACACTGTCCTATGCCAATATTGATGTCTTTCCCTACTATTATCAAATGTATAACTTCTAAGCAAAAGAAAAGGAAAACAGCAAAACAGTTATGTATATTGGAAAAATACAAGCATAACTGTGTAACATGCTGCAAGGGCCAAACTGCATTTTGCATGTAGTGCTTAAATTAAAATATGTGTGGGACAAAAATCCCAAAATAAAAACTGCTCATCATTCAAAACAAAGAGCGTTGTGAGCTCACCGCCTCTCTGTTCTGCTGTTGCGACGGTGTGGACTGGATTGACTTCGCTGTGGGGATGATACATCCTTTTTCCTATCCTTGGTGGGTGATGGTGGCCCTGTTCCTTTGCTGATCTAGGAGGGGAAGGAAAATGACACATAAGCCACGTAATCCATTTGCTACTTCCCTTGGGAGGCTGGGGAAGAATGCAGTAAATAAGAGGGAAATTACAATGAGCACTCTAATGCAGTAACTAGTTTTTCAAAGCATTACACAAATCCTTTATATATCTTTACAAGAAACCTGTAAAGTACATCAGAATTATTTCTACATTGCAAGGGTATGGGACTAACACTGAGCACATCTAAGACCATTGAGCAAACAAAGCTGAGGCATAGATAAGAAAAGCTGAAGAAACATTTAAAGCGAGCGATGTCCTAGTTCTTGATCATTTTATGGCATTGACCCCCATGCTGCATGTCTCCTAATGCAGTGCATTTATTTATACCACACACAATGCAACTTTCTTATCATTCACCAGGTGGGTGAAGTTATGAGTACTGGACATTGGGTCATTGTAGGTTTTTTGGGTTATATGGCCATGTTCCAGAAGCATTCCCTCCTGACGTTTTGCCTGCATCTATGGCAGGCATCCTCAGAGGTTGTGGGGTCACAACCTCTAAGGATGCCTGCCATAGATGCAGGTGAAAGTCAGGAGATAATGCTTCTAGAACATGGCCATATAACCCAAAAAACCTACAACACAGTGATTCCGGCCATGAAAGCCTTCAACAATACAGTGTAGGAATTCCTTGTAACTATTCTTTTCCCTATCCTGACACACTGATCCCGGTAACATATACCTACAGAAAACAAGATGTTGCTGTTGTTTCTTTTCTGGTAGAAATGCAATATATACATGCATGGTGCTGAAAACAAAACTAAGATTTAAAATGTGGACCAGTGGAGGAATCCTGACTGGTTTTGCTTGACGTAACAGTCTCTTTAGGACTTTGTACTACAAGGCAGCAAATAAATTTCACATATGAGCTTGCAAATAAAATGACTGGACTGGACAATTGAGAGCATTTGTTTTAAGGAAAGACTGCACTTTCACCTACACTCATGGCTATGTTTGTTATTACTTCTGGGAACTGCAGTCTAAAAATACCTGGGTGACTATATGTTCTTTATCCCTGCTTTGAGGATTGGAAACCTTTTATTCATTTTTTGCACATAGAAGAGAAGGACTTGCTGATTTTAAGTTTTGAAGATTGAAGGTCATCTATTTGTTTCTTTTTCATAGAATCAAAGAATCCTAGAGACCTCGTGGGCCATCCAATCCAACCCCACTGCCAAGAAGAAGGAAAATCACGTTCAAAGCATCCCTGAGAGAGGCCATCCAGCCTCTGTTTAAAAGCCTCCAAAGAAGAAGCCTCCACCACACTCCTGGGTAGAGAGTTCTGCTGCTGAACAGCTCTCACAGTTAGGAAGTTCTTTCTAATGTTCAGATGGAATCTCCTTTCTTGTAGTTTGAAGCCTTTGTTCCGCATCCTAGTCTCCAGGGCAGCACAAAGCAAGCTTGATCCCTCCTCCCTATGATTTCACCTCACATATTTATACATGGCCATCATGTTTCCCTTCAGCCCTTTCTTCTGCAGGCTAAACATGCCTAGGTCTTTAAGCCACTCCCCATAGGGCTTGTTCTCCAGACCCTTGATCATTTTAGTTGCTCTCCTCTGGACACATTCCAGCTTGTCAACATTTCCCTTCAGTTGCGGTGGCCAGAATTGGACACAGTATGAGTCCAGGTGTGGTTTAACCAAGCCAGAATAGAGGGTTAGAATGACTTCCTTGGATCTAGACACTATACTATTTATGCGGGTCAAAATCCCATTAACTTTTTTCGCTGTCGCATGATTAACTTGTCATTCACAAGGACTCAAAGATCTTTTTCACACATTATACTGTTGAGTCAGGCATCCCCCATTCTGCATCTTTGTATTTTATTTTTTTTCTTTGCATTTTTTGTGTTTCTGTTCTGTTTCTTTTCACAATTCACTTTTTTACTTTTAATGTAACTTTTGAAACTTTAAAAAATAATGTTAAGAGAGAGAGAGAGACAAGGTGAATTGCCTCTCTGAAATTGTTTGGGAATTTTGGTAACATCCAAGAATGATAATTCATCTTTTTAATGGGTTGAATACACTCCTCTGTGCATATTTGAATGCTTTAAAACTATTTTAATACAATACAAATGGACTTCAAACCATCTGAGTCTCTTTTAAGAGAGAAAAAGTGCATGAAAATATTGTTGTTGTTGTTTCCCTCTAATTAAAGTATGTCAGTATGTCTATCTGTCTGCCCATCTGTCTTGTGACTGCTAATGGAAGACAGGGATGGGAAGCTGGCCTGCCAATCACAGCAGCGTGCCCTAAGCATGCAAAACCTCTCAGCTCTTCCAGTGATCTCACCTTTAGTCTCATGTCACGGGAATGCCTTTCCAGCTCCTTGCGGAATTCCTCACGACCCAGCTTTTCCACATCCAAGATGGAGTGTTTCCACTCAATCTGCTCCACGCTGTGTGGATCATGGGACACATACTGGCCAAGCTTCACCTTTTTTAGGGTGTGCCAGCAGCGCCGGTATGCCTCCTCATAGTCAAAGATGAGTTCGCTCAGGGTGCGGAAAGTTGGTGCCTTGTACATGAGATCCTCACGCCGACTAATGCCCAGCGCCCCATAGCGCCCCCCAAAGTTCACTCCCAGCACAATATGGCGGAAGTAGTTCCCTGAGAAGTAGGTTTTGAAGCTGATGGGAAAACGCTCCAGTGTTGGCATGTTGTTGGTGAGGTAACTGTCAATAGCAATTATTTAGGAAATTGTAGTGGAGTAAAGATGAACTTAATAAAGACTCTTAGCCTGACTACTGAGCTTCAGGTCTTAGATATGGGCAATCTTAGATACTGCATGATATTTCCTTTACCTGAAAATACAAATATGCAAACAAAAAGCTTATCTTACACGAACTTTCCAATCCAAGTAATGCCTAGATTCAATCAATTTGGTAGTGGTTTTGAGAATCAAATTCTCATTTCGTGCTAGACCAGTTTGGTTCTTTATTTCTAACTTTAGAACAGTGGTTCCCAACCTTTTTTTCACTGGGGACCACTTTGACAAGGGACCACTGTCCAACATTAGTACCAGAAGGGTTATGAATCAGTTTGTGGTCAACTTTAGATTTGGTTTGGTTATTTGGGATGCTGATTCAGAAAATTGCATTTGATAGCTCTAGTTTCTGATACAGAACATATGTCTTCCAATAGTCACCACCTGTTCGCCCACAGAAAAGCATATTTAATAATCTAGAGCTGATGTGGTAGTAGTAATCTTTTGAGGGTAGCCAGCCTCTCCCCTCCTGACATCCTTGTTGCACTGTAAGAGGGTTTCGCAAGATTAGTCACTCTCGTTGCCATGTGGTTTCAAGGCAACAGTATAGTAATGGTGAGGCCATGGACCATATTTTTGTTCTTGTGGACCACTAGTGGTCCACAGACCACAGGTTGGGAACCACTGCTTCAGAGGTATAGGTGGTTGGAAGACAACAACTTTTTCTGTGGTTTCATCCATGAATAGTATAAATCTTTGCATAAACTGTATCTAATTGCCCTGCTCTTGTGAACTTTTCAAGTCCTTGAGGATGGACAGAAACACATACTTATTCACACTTACTCATTCTTACTGTTAACGAATAGCACTCAGACATCTAAATAATATCTTTTTAGTACCAAATGTCCTCACTCATGTGAAAACTAGTTATGAAGTGGAGTGTAAATACTGACAAATCACAGAGTGCAGAGTGGGACCTCCAGGTAAGTTGTGCCAGTTTACACAAAATACTCCAAATCTAAGTTTCAAATTCTACAATCCAAGAGCAGTACTGTCGAAACTATAGTACAACTCCCATACTCTCAAGACCAGAACATACATTTCACTTAGGAAAGGTAAAGGTTTCCGCTGACTTTGAGTCTACTCACGTCTGACTCTGGGAGTGGTGCTCATCTCCATTTTTTTACTGCTTTGATGACGTTTGGTGTTTAATGTTTTACCTATATTCTGTTTTATGTATACTGATTTGTTGGAAACCGCCTTGAGTCACCGATTGGCTGAGAAAGGTGGATAACAAATACAGTAAGTAAGTAAGTAAGTAAGTAAGTAAGTAAGTAAGTAAGTAAATAAGCCAAAGAGTCGGTGTTGTCCATAGACACCTCCAAGGTCATGTGGCTAGCATGACTGAATGGAGAACTGTTACCTTCCCACAGAAGCGGTACCTATTGATCTACTCACATTTACATGTTTCCGAACTGCTAGATTGGCAGAAGCTCGGTCTAACAGCAGGAGCTCACCCTGCTCCCCGGATTCAAACAGCCAACCTTTTGGTCAGCAAATTCAGCAGTTCAGCAGTTTAACCGGGGGGGGGGGGGGGATTTCACTTACCACATTCAATACAAATATGTCTTTTCTGAGAATTTTAAGGTCCTGGGCTGGAGTTACAATGGGGTTGCACTGGAGCAACTAACAATTTCCTAGAGAGGATAATTTGCTAGGTCCTCCAGCATGGTTCTGAGATAACGTCTGGGAGAAGTTGTTCATTTCAATAAGGTTTACTATTATCTACAATTTATTGTTTCCATGATAAGTTCAAGAACAGATCTTCTATGGATACAGGGGTCATACTGAAGGAAAATGCATGTAGACTTCTAATAAAAGGATACATTCCAAGGATCACAGCTTCTAGACATTTGATCGGCAGAGCCTCTTTTGTCATTTCTTTGGCTAGATCCATCAGCCTACAGGATGACAGGAAAGGGAGACTTTTTAAAAACCCAATTTTTAAAAACCTATTGTCAAACTGAACAGGATAGTTTGGGAGTGATGGAAAGGAAAGAATGCCTAACCACACAAAGAAGAGGAAGTTAACTGTTATGACAGAGTTCCTCATCACATTTTAATCCTAGCTGACACTGAATTTCCTTTGAATGAATCAGAAACAGAAAATCCCCTAAGATGGATTGCACCCTCATCTTTGGAATAATTCTTATTGCAGTTGGAGTAGTAACACTGCTCCAATCACTCTCATAGAACACTCTAAGCCTAATGTTGAATAGAGTACTTCAAGACGTCTGCTTCATGGATGCCATGTGCAATCAGGAAATGCAATACCTCCATCTGTAGCAGGCATGGGTAAACAACTGGCCCTCCAAGTGTTTTGGACTTCAACTCCCACAATTCCTAACAGACTATCAGGAATTGTGAGAGTTGGAGTCTAAAACACCTGAAGGGCTGAAGTTTGCCCATGCCTGATCTACAGGTAAGGTAAAGGTTTACCCTGACATTAAGTCTAGTTGTGTCCAACTCTGGGAGGTGGTGCTCATCTCCATTTCTAAGCCAAAGTGCCAGCATTGTCCATAGATACCTCCAAGATCATGTGGCCAGCATGACTGCACGGAGCGTCATTACCTTCCCACATAAACTGTACCTATTGATTACAGATTACATAGGTTGGCAGAAGCTGGTCCTAACAGCGGGAGCTCACCCTACTCCCTGGATTTGAACCGCCAACCTTCTGATCAGCAAGTTCAGCAGCTCAGTGGTTTAACCCACTGCACCACCAGGGGGGCTGGTCTATAGCATAGGAAAAGTACTTTTTTTAAAAAAAACTATACTTTCCACAATTCTCTAGCCAGTGTTATTATACTGGTCAAGGACTGTAAGCCAAAATAAATAGTTTCCCTAAGCAATGCCTAAAACTATATTTAATATGTGAATCAAGATGACAGAGATGTCAGTCAATATGGTTTCAGATACCTAACTATTTCACAAGCTATTAGGCATGATAAAGCTGATGCTGTTTAATGGTTCTTGACCACTTGGAAGACAACTTTGCTCTTATAATAGAGCAACAAGTCATAGCTCTGAGCAGCTGCATGTGAGCTCAACACTAGAGTTTGTGTTGAGCTTCCTTGGGGAGGTCAGTCACTGGCCAGATTGGAGCTAAGCCAGGGCCTTTGGCCAGACTCAGAAGAACGTCCTGAGAAACAATGTCCAAATAATAAATAAATAAAAGGAAAAAAACTAAAGCAACAGCACTTACCCAGTCAAAGGCCTGCTTTTCTTGATTTCAAAGAACTGTGTCCCAGTATGATTGTATCTGGGAGCAAGGAGTTAAGATCTACACCGTTTGGAAATTCTTGGCTGCAAGTGATCAGGAGATCCCACCACAAAGGCAGCTGTTTTATTAAGCTCAGGGCAGCCTTTATGACAGTTTCTCAAATTCTACTCCTCCAGATGTTTTGGACTTCAACTCCCACAATTCCTAACAGCTGGTAAGCTGGCTGGGAGGAGCAGAGTTTGAGAAACACTGCTCTATGACAACACGGAAATCAGTCAGTACTCTAATAAATTGCTTAGGTATGAGTATATAATGAATTGGCAGTATGAAAAGTTATCAACAAAGAAATGATGCTCCAAGAACAAAAACAGAGATGACTCTAAAACAGTCATTAAAAACCACGTCAAGATTGGTATGTGTGTGTTGAGCAGTAATTGCAAACCCTCTCTCCATTTGCACTAGGACTGCAATACAAGGGAGCTTGAACTAGAACATGAAAAACATTCTAATTAAAGATTTAACTAGAACCTGAAAAACTTTTCCTTATTGTTGTAGTCCTAAAAAGTTACTTGCTCAAACTATGGGTTTCATTGGGTTGTTGTAGGCTTTTTGGGCTGTATTATCATATTCTAGAAGCATTCTCTCCTGACATTTCACCTACATCTATGGCAGGTATCATCAGAGGTTGTGACCTCACAATCTCTGATGATGCCCTGCCATAGATGCAGGTGAAATGTCAGGAGAGAATGCTTCTACAACATGGCCATACAGCCTGAAAAAACTACAACAACCCAGTGATTCTAGCCATGAAACCCTTCAACAATATATGGATTTCAGTGTTTCTGCCCAGCTCTGATAGAAAAATTCCCTTTCCTGCTTCTGTTGGTGCTGGCTTCAATTATAGGTACCAACAGCTGGCATCGAAAAGAGCCAAATCATAGAGTTGGAAGATACTTTGTGGGCCATCCAGTCCAACCCCCTGCCAAGAAGCAGGAAAATCACTCCCGACAGATGGCTATCCAGCCTCTGTTTCAAAGCCTCTAAAGAAGGAGCCTCCACCACACTCCGGGGCAGAGAGTTCCACTGCTGAATAACTCTCACAGTTAGGAAGTTCTTCCTCATGTTCAGATGGAACCTCTTTCCCTGTAGCTTAAAGCCACTGCTCTGTGTCCTAGTCTCCAGGCCAGCAGAAAACAAGCTTGCTCCCCTCTCCCTATGACTTCCCCTCACATATTTATACATGGCCCTCATCATGTCTCCTCTCAACCTTCTCTTCTGCAAGTCAAACAAGCTCTTTAAGCTGCTCCTCATAGGGCTTGTTCTCCAGACCCTTGATCATTTTAGTCACTTTCCTCTGGACACATTCCAGCTTGTCAGCATCTCCCTTAGGTGGAGGTACCTAGAATTGGACACAGTATTCCAGGTGTGGTCTGACCAAGGCAGAATAGAGGGGTAGCATGACTTCCCTGGAGCTAGACACTATGCTCCTATTTATTTAGGCTACAATCCCATTGGCTTTTTTAGCTGCCATATGACATTGTTGGCTTGTGTTTAACTTGTGGTCCACAAGGACTCAAAGATCTTTTTCACACCTATGGCTATTGAGTTAGGCATCCCCCATTCTGTATCTTTGCATTTCATTTCTTCTGCCTAAGTGGAGGGGTATTTTGCATTTGTCCCCACTGAACTTCAAATGCATTGAACAACTAAATGCTGAGTTTGTTCTCCTTAGCAAAGTTAGCCAGTACCTTTCCTATTGTCTGTCCCTGATTTCCTAAATGAATCATGGTGTGTATCAAACAAAATGTCCGGATACTGCATTCCTGGTAACAGAGAAAGGGCAGCTTGCAACAGACATTTTCTTGCTTACACAGATAATGTCAGGATGCCAAGGGAACAAATGAAAGGAAACTAGTAGGGCAGCAAAACCACAGGCTGCAAGGAACAGCAGTTTCCTCAAAGAGGGAGTTTCATTTCCCGGTTGGGCGAGAGTAGCAAGTGGTCAGAAAGGTTCTCTTCTGCTCAAGTGAGAAAAGTTGCCTTCCCAATTCTGGTCAGTTTAGCAAAAAGTTGAAAGGATACTGAAGTTCCCTGATGTAGCGCTGTATGGCTTCCAGGCGCTCAGGGATCAGGGTGGACGGCTGGAACGTAGGCACACTCGGTATAGGGATCTGTACATGGGAGGGAGAGAAAGGAAGGCTGATATGAGCTCACTAGAAAAACATCAATTTACAGACAAGACAAGAGACCACACCCTGGCTCAGCATGGAAGGCACATGAGGTCACCCCACATAATTATATGAGATAGCTCATTTTTTATTGCTGGCCACCTGAGGTTAGTCATGCGTAGGGAGAATGAGCGAGGGAAAGAAAGAAATCAAAGAGTCCATTTATTCTTCCATTTTGAGACAGTTAATAGGCAAGACCGGTCATTTCAAAACTCTTGAGAAGGAATGAAAGAAACACTGATAGGCTGTCATGAAAGTAGGAAGAGTGAGCTACTTAACAAGGTTATTGTAAAAGCAAACATGGTGAAATTTCCTTCTCTGGAGGCTTTTAAACAAAGTTTTGGTGGAATTACTTAGATTCTATATTACTGCATGGCAGGGGGTTGGACTGGATGGTCCTTGGGATCTCTTCCAACTCTATGATTTGAAGAACAGCAGATGTGGAAATGCACATTTTGTGTCTTTCAGAAGTAAGTGGCTTATCAATGATGACATTAAATACTCCCCCCCCTCCAAAAAAAAAGTAAAGATGGATAAAAATGTCAGGAGTTTTTTTAAAATCCACAAGCATATGAACAATTTCAACAGAAAGGAGGAAACCATGAAAATGAACAAAATCTGGCCACCAGTATTTACAAAAAAGCAAAAAATTATAACAATAAATAAAGAACAAAACTCAAACACAGGGGAACTCCAGACAAGAAACAATCGGGAACAGATAAGCACCTCTCAACAAAGGTTTCCCCCAGGCAGGAACAAGCCACCCCTAAAAACTGTCAGGCCATCAAATGCTAATCAAAGTGGCCAATTGAAACTTTCATACCTAGCTCCAACAAAGAGTTCTTTCTCCCAACCTGGACTTTCCACAGATATGTAAACCCAATTTTCCTAGATTCCAATAGACCTCACGACCTATGAGGATGCCTGCCATAGATGCAGGTGAAACATAAAGAGAGAATGCTTCTAGATCAGGGGTCCTCAAACTAAGGCCCAGGGGCCAGATAAGGTCCTCCAAGGTCATTTACTCAACCCTCACTCAGGGTCAACCTAAGTCTGAAATGACTTGAAAGCACACACCAACAACAACAATCCTATCTCATCAGTCAAAAGCAGGTCCACGCTTCCCATTGAAATACTAACAAGTTTATATTTGTTAAAATTGTTCTTCATTTTAATTATTGTATTGTTTTCAAGTGTTTTTTGCACTACAAATAAGGTATGTGCAGTGTGCACAGGAATTCATTCATATTTTTTTTAAAATTATAATCCAGCCCTCCAACAGTTGGAGGGACTGTGACCTGGTCCTCTGTTTAAAAAGTTTGAGGACCCCTGTTCTAGAACATGGCCATACAGCCTGAAAAACTTACAACAACCCAATTTTTAAAAACATTTTCCAAAGTTTGCAAATTTGCAGTATTCATACTGTTTTTCCTTTCCCATGATCTGTACCACTAGGGGAGACACAATAGCCCTAGACAACGTAATGTAATCCACTAAAAGTGTGGAGGATTCTCCTAGCATAATGAGGCTCTCACTTAAGCAATTAGACTGATGAACAATTTAGTATATACAAACCTGGGCCTGGAGCCCAGGCTGAGCTAAGGTTTCCTCCATATTCAGGTCTTCAGCAATTCCCTTAACAGTAGATGGAACAGGATGAGAGACAGCAATCTATTCTTCTTATCTCTGAAGTAACTGATAAGCTACATTAATGGCTTTGTTGGGGTATTGCCCTGCTTCAATTTCTTCTACTCAAAATAGTACCAAAGTGCAAGACTTAAGTGATCTATGTGCATGTTAAAAGGAAACATAATTTTCTTCCTTGTCATTACTGCTGATTGTTATTTCCATGACTGTACAACTCCTTTCTAGAGGCAGCTTTGACAATTAAATCTTCTTGACTATGCAGCAGTCTCAATATTATCAAACTGTAGGTGGTTCCACATTATAATGGGATTTTCCCCCTTACATGGTGACAGCTATCATATGATAGCCTATTATGTTGAAATTTCTCCCATAAACCACTTATCCTGAACTACCTCAAAGAGTTGTTGTGAGGGTAGAGCAGGGAAGAGGAGATTCATGCACACTGCCCTGAGCTCACCAGAGTAAGGGTGCAAAATAAATATAACAAATACAAGAATAAAACCCAGAGCCTATTTCATCATATTAAGACAAAGAGATTTTAGTAAGCAGTATATATGAATAAGATCTTGGGAGTCCTCGTGGACAACAAGTTAAACATGAGCCAACCATGTCATGTGGCGGCAAAAGAAAAAAAGCCAATGGGATTTTGGCCAGCATCAATAGGACTATAGTGTCTAGATCCAGGGAAGTCAAGCTACCCCTCTTTTCTGCCTTGGTCATACCACACCTGGAATACTGTATCCAATTCTGGGCACCACAATTGAAGGGAGATGTTGACAAGCTGTGTTCCGAGGAGGGCGACTAAAATGATAAAGGGAACAAGCCCTATGAGGAGCGGCTTAAAGAGCTGGGCATGTTTAGCCTGCAGAAGAGAAAGCGAAGAGGAGACATGATGGCCATATGTGAGGGGAAGTCATAGGGAATAGGTTTGTTTTCTGCCGCCCTGAAGACTAGGACGTGGAACAATGGCATCAAACTACAGGAAAGGGGATTCCATCTTATTATTAGGAAGAACTTCCTGACTGTGGGAGCTGTTCAGCAATGGAACTCTCTGCTCCGGAGTGTGATGAAGGTTTCTACTTTGGAGGCTTTTAAGCAGAGGCTGGATGGCCAACTGTTGGGGGTGCTTTGAATGCAATTTTTCTGCTTCTTGGCAGGGGGTTGGACTGGATGGGCCCATGAAGTCTCTTCCAAATTAAGGATTCTATTATCTTCAGTAATTCTAAATTATCTTTGCAACAGTATGTGTGACAACAGAGGACAAGAACAATCACACTACGCCCAGAGATCATAGTTAGATGTTTTCAACCATAATTCCAAAGATGAACAATTCTGGAAACTATAGCATCCAAAGTAACTTTTCCAATTTTCATCTCTGTCCCCATTCTTGTGATTCTCATGCTGAACTTCTGCAGTGGGCGAGCCTTTTTTACTGGTAGAGACTCTCTGCAGCTCAAACCTCTTAATCTTCCAGGATTCTATATGCACAAGAAGACTCACAAACAGAAGACGCTCCCCTATAGAAGTTGTGTTTGATTATAGAAAGGGTGCTGGAAGTGGATGAAGGTGTTGTGGTTCAGATAGATGAAGATGAGGGGGTTGGGGTTTCAGAGCCTGGGAGAGTGGTGGAGAGTTCTTTCAATGAGGGAAATGGGGGGATTTCAGAGCATGATTCTGTCTGTGAGACAGGGCTTGAAAGTGGAACTGTTTTGGAGTCCAGCTGACAGGGAGATGACCTTTCAACCACAATGAGCTTAGCAACCCCTGGCATAAAGACCTGGCATACCAAAATAGCTCAATATCAGACTGGATCTTAAGGAGAAAAACATCAAGCTCAGGAAATCCAAAAGAGGGTTGCTGTATGTTTTTCAGGCTGCATGGCCATGTTCCAGACGTATTCTCTCCTGACGATTCGTTTGCATCTATGGTAGGCATCCTCAGAGGTTGTGAGGTCTGTTGGAAAATAACCTCTGAAGATGCCTGCCATAGATGCAGGTGAAATGTCAGGAGAGAATACTTCTGGAACATGTCCATATAGTCTGAAAAACTTACAGTAACCCAGTGATTCTGACCATGAAAGCCTTTGACAACACATTAAATCCAAAAGACTCAGAGAGAAAAAAGCACAGAGAAAGTTTCACAAGCCAGAAAGTCAAGGTCAAAGAAATGCCTTCATGTTTTGCAGATCTTAAATTAGAGTGTCTTGGTGAGAATTCAGATCAGGCAATGCTGCATAAGAGTAAGGATATCGAGTCCTGTTTCTAGTTCATGTTTTTAGTTTAAGTTCCAGGCAGTTTTGATTCATGTTTTAAGTTCTTATAGCCTTGCTTTTTCTGGATTCATGTTCATGTTTTGATTCTTGTTCCTTGAATTATGCTCATGTTGTGATTATTGTTTTCCTGTATCATCTTAATTATTGCGTTTGAAGTTTTTTACTCCTCACCAGCTTGGTTGGGTTTTTACTTATTGACTACCTTTTCTGATTACCTGCTGAATTTCGGCTTTCTTATTCCTTTTGGTGATTTTCCCTTTTTATATGTACTCTCTTCAATAAACTGTTTTACCACTGCTTTTGAATTTCTAGTTGGCACTAAGGGCAAGGTGAACTCTGGAGTACAATAGAAAGTAAGCCTTGCATGCTGTTACTAACCCTCTTCCCTCCTTGGGTTGCTGTCCTGAATAGGTCTTTGGGTTATAACAGAGTTTCTCAAACTGCTCCTCCAGATGTTTTGGACTTCATTTCCCACAATTCCTAACAGCTGGCAAGCTGGCTGGGATTTCTGGGAGCTGAAGTTCAAGTCACCCAAAGGAGCAGAGTTTGAGAAACACCGGATTACAATATGTGCTGATAATGTGTGCTCCCAACCAGTTACCAGCGCAGAGCATCCTTAAAAGAAGAGTTTGATGCTTAGAGTGTGGTTGGAAAACTTACTAATTTTGGACTGCTTGAGGGCTTCTGAGAGATGTAGTCAAGAATGTAATTCATCCAAGTATGGTTGAGATAAGCCTTGTCAGAGACAGTGCTTTAATGGAGATATAACACTATAAAATATTTGCTCTGCTTTGCTGACTTCTTTCAAAGCAGGACAGAAAACACTGCTTTCAACCATCCTACAGAGCTTTTACAAAGCAGACATAACCTCAGTTATAAATCTATATATGAACTCCTGACACTAGACTGGTGGACTTGCCAGAAGCCCATATTTGACTCAGAGAGCTTGAAACTGGATCTTATCCAGACATGAAACGTCTACAGAACAAAGATTACATCGAGGCCTTGGAACCATGGCGTTTTG